AATAGAGCAAAAGTAGATAATGTATTCGTGATTAATCGTATAAAATTAATTATTATCAATTACATTGTATATTGAATGAAAACTCGAGATATTCTACCTGCCGTTAATATAGAAAATCTTTATAGGAAATTCTCATGATCCGTACGATTTGATTTTACAATAACGATAATTATTATCAATAAAATTTAGCTTTAATTTTAATACCGCACAAATCGATTTACATCGATCGTATAACACAAACGAACATATTATATCATTGCAATTACCACAAAATGAAATTGCGATGAAATACATTTCTATGTATTAATTTATTAATACGTATGTACGTACAATGTACAATGTATTACTATGTATAATGTACTATGTACAGTGTACATGTATATAGTTTCGTAAGTAACAACTCGTTCCAATTTTGATTCGGGTTTACGGAAAGAGGTTAATAACCCACTTTCAAGGCCTCCGGCTTCTTGTTTTATCTGCGCCCGTTTAAAAGCTTCTATGTACCGCCGACGTTGAAAAGCAGACGAGAATGAGAGACCAGAAGGACAAGATCGTTTCATTATCCCAGTAATTGTTGCACGTTCTTTCGTCTACATTCCCAGCCCATCCAGTAAGATAAAAAACAGTATTTGCATAAAATTAAACGACTATGGTATACCATTCCAATTCTTGTTAACTTTATATCGACATTTTTATGAACGGAAAATTTGAAAGAAAAAAAGAAAGAAAGAAAGAAAGAAAAAAATTATATAAAAATGTTAATACGAGTTAATGATCGTTGTAACAAACAAAACAGAAGAAGAAAAAAAACAACGTTCAAAAAGTTGACTGATTATTAGTATTTTTTTCATTTTTAATTTTTTTTTTTTTTTTTTTTTTTTTTTTCATCGAAATTTCTTCCTATCAAAGATAAAGAAAATAAGACATTATGAAAATATAGATAATGAAGATCAAGGGAGAATCGTAAAGTAAATGCAAAAGATAAAAATTTAAGATGTTCATTAATTTTTAATAAATTTTTTTATCGAAATTCATACGAATCTAAAGTTACAAATGAGAAAGGAAAAAATATATTTGTGCATTTGGAAAAAAAGAAATGATCGACAAATAAAAAAGAAAGAAATAAGAGAAAGAAGGAAAGAGAGAGAGAGAGAGAGAGAGAGAGAGAGAGAGAGAGAATCGTTGGCTAGTAAATAAAGTAATAAAAAACTACGTCAAAGAAATTAATTGAAAATAAATTTTTTCCAGAGGTACGTGCGTTCGAGATACATACGAGAAATATTTTGTGCGAATGAATTTGCACGGTGGTTCGTGTATCGTGCATTGTGTAAATTTAAACGAAAAAAAAAAGAAAATAAAATTATTAGAAAAAAAAAAAGAAAAGAAAATTATTAGAAAAAAAAAAAAAAAAAAAAAAGAAAAAAAATAACAACAGGAATAGAAAAACACGAGATCTCATCGTTCGGAGAACTGTCCTATCTAGAAAACAATGAACTTTCATATATATATATATATATATAGATATATATATATATATATATATATATCTTTCTATTTTTTTATTTGTTTTTTCTCTACGTACGTGTGTGTACATGTAATACATATATGTATATTAACGAACGTAATATCGTTTGGTATCGATACATTTTATATATAACAAGATCGTCGATGGTCGAACGTGATGTGCGTACCTGCCTGATCGTGACACGCTTATTTCAATATTTTAAATTTCATTTGTCAACGAGATATAAATTCGATTGTCATTTAAACATACATATATGTATACATCTGCGTATAAATAATCCATAGTAATCGTAATACATATTAAATGACATTTAATTGATATCCTACATTAAAATTTACTTTGTACTGAATGCGTATAATACGTAAGAACAAAAAAAGAAAATTAAATCTACCAAGATACCTTATTATTACTATTATTATTATTATTATTATTATTATTATTATTATTATTATTATTATTATTATTATTATTACTATTATTATTATTAGTGACCAATCGTGATTAAAGATATTCCAAAATAAAGATAAGATTTCTTTCTTGTTCTTATTGTCTCTATTTTTTTTTTTTTTTTTTTTACACGAACAATAAGAATAGGTATCGTAATCGTATGCATACGTAAATGTCATCAATATGAATGAGTTTTTGATACAATTGAACTTCGAATGGCTGATGCTTCCTTATCGAGTGCCTCTTTGTCATGAGCTAACAAAGTTTCTCTTCAATTTAATCCCCGATATCGTTCTTTGTTTTATTCAAATTCTTGATACGTTTACCCTTTCTCTCTCTCTCTCTATCTCTCTCTCTCTCTTGCCATATAACACACACACACACACACACACAAAAGGGCTTCAAATGCAATTACAATTTACATCTTGCATCGAAAAATATAAATGAGTATGAATCCGACTATGATCAGTGCATTTCCATAATATCATACTATACCGTCTTATATCATACGTCGAAATGACACCAATATTATCAAACGTTTGTTTAAATTATCGACCGCAGTAAAAAATTTTTTTTATCAAAAGTCGTAACCTCAATGACAAACGAATAAAAAAAAAAATTGTATTGAAATCTATTCGAACACATTTTCCAATATATTTAATAATATAACAGGTGAAGAAGTTTATTAACGAGAACTAAAGTCATATATGTCTAATTAAAAATATACAATCAATAGATTTCATTCGACAATAAAAATATATCTATATATGTACATATATCTTGCGTATATATATTAAAAGTATTGTCAATAAAAAAAAAAAAAATCGATCGAATTACATAAAACGTTTCATTGTAAATCCATGACGAAAATAACAAATAACATCTTGTAAATTATAATCTTCTGCCTTTTTTTTTTTTTTTTTTTTTTTTTTTTTTTTTTTTTTTTTTTTTTTTTTTTTTTTTTTTTTTTTTTTTTTTTTTTAATATATTACGTATCTATAATACGTAATGCGAACTGTACGAATAATAGTATTAGATTTTTTATTTTGATTCATTGCATGAACAAAGATTGCTCAGTACTGTCTAACCAAAACCCAAGAGAAAGAAGGAAAGAGAGAGAGAGAGAGAGAGAGAGAGAAAGAGAGAGAGAGAGAGAGAGAGAGGAGAGAGAGAAGGAAAGAAAGACAGTAGCTATAAATGTTCGAGAGATTGGTTTCGATTCGCGATCGTATTAATGCATAGGAGAATGCAATCAGTACTAATTACTAGTTGCCATATGTGAGTATTCAAGCTAGCTACACGAGACAATATTATAGGAGAACTACATCGAACTAATTTCCATCGATTTCTCTAATGCTTATTCATATATCGATTACACTCTCTCTCTCTCTCTCTCTCTCTCTCTATACATATATATATAAATATATATATATATATATATATATATATATATATAAATATATGTATTTGAGAAATAGCAGTATTAAAATCTAATATATATTATATTATATATACACATACATACACATATAATATACACATATATATATAATTATATTATAACTATATAAGAGTATATAGAATGTAATAGTACTATGTTACTAATAGTATTATTAGTACCATTATATATAATAATACTTTACAAAGATACATCTATAGACAAATTCTACGAATCTTTAAATTATATTTGATTGAAAAAAAAAGAGAGAGAGAGAGGGAGAGAGAGAAAAAAAAGAAAACGAAACGATATAAGATAAAAACAAATTTAATTCTCATTCCTTTGAAAAATCTTCATCGTTATCGACATTCGATACTTATCAAATACTTATTAATACCTTCAATCTCATTTTCTAAATATAGAAATATAATTAATTATTATCATAACCGACGATAATTAACTAACCAGTTATATTAAGTTATCGACAGACAAACTCGCATATTCATTACGATTTCTGAAAGGAAGTGGGCTTTAACCTTAAAGACAATAGCTTTTGTAAGCTTATCTCGAACGTCCTTCGTGTATACTCGTAATAATCTCGGCATATACATATTGCAAAGAGTTATAACGATCCCGTTGAGAATTGCCACGATATAACTCGCTCTCTCTCTATTTCTCGTTCTTCTATATCGTTCAACTAATAGAAATTATAAGTGAAATGATTTAAGAGGCTCGACGTTATAACGATAAAACTCCCAAGATGAAAGATTCAACGGAATAGAACTTTAATGATTTAAAAAAAAAAAAAAAAAAAAAAAATATATATATATATATATAAAAGAATCGAATTATTATCCCCACAATTTATTCGTTTTCTGTTTCTTGTTTTATTATTATTATTGTTATTGTTATTATTATTGTTATTGTTATTGTTATTGTTATTATTATTTTTTTTTTAATAGATAATTCTTTGCGCGTGTTAATCGATATCTATTCTATTACGTTGTATTTTATTTCATTTTTTTTTTGTTCTTTTTTTACTATTTCTTTTTTCTTTTTTAATTTTTTTTCACCCGAACGGTGTATCTCAATATATTTTTTTTACTTGAAAAAATATGCCGCGCAATTTATTCCAATAAAAAGTATATAACATGAAATATAAATATAAAATAGTTATAGGACGTCATTCTAAAAAAATAAAAAAAAATAAAAATAAAAGAAAAAAAAATATCGAACTGACGTATACAACGTAGGATACTCGTAAGTGTTAATTATTATATTTTTGGCACGGATCTATCGTGAAATTTTTTACGAATGAGGAAGAAGAAAATCAACAAATTGATCATCGATTCTTATTAATGAAATAAAGAAAAAAAAAAAAAGAGAGGAATTAATAAATAAAGAAATCGCACGTTAATTTCAACGCAACTTCTTTTTTTGTTTTTGTTTTTTTTTTTTTTTCTAGAACAAAAATCGATGAAAGTCATTTCTTCTTTTCTTTTCTTTTTTTTTTTTCTTTTTTATTTTTTTGATGGATCGTTAGAAAATTCATTAAAAGATGCTGAATTGTTACGTATAATCAATACTCACTATTACATTATGTCTATAGTATGTATGTCTATAGTATGTACTTGTGTGTCTATGTCTGAGAATGGCGTTGAATTAAAAGAGAGGATTGTAAATGATTTCGGTCGGTGCTCCATCCTGTTATACGCAGGAACGTACTTCCTCTATGACGTCAAACAGGAAACAGAAGAGCTCTCTCATTCTGTGAGCCTTGTTTCCGGGTCAAACGAGGTTAAAGTTATCGCAACAATCTACATACGTACTTCTTGCTCCAATAGATTTCTCGTCGATATCTAGCAAATTCGTCTAAAAAAAAAAAAAAAAAGAAAAAGAAAAAAATTAATCTCGTTCATAATCGACAAAATAGTTCCCAAATTTTTCCAATGATAGTTCAAACTTAATCTAATGTATTAACGAGCATCATGAAATGCAATTATAATTATTGATAACGCTTGTGAAATAATAATGTTTATCTTTTTCTTCACTAAAACATTTTTTCTTTCTTCAATCTATATATATATATATATATATATATATATATATATATATATGCATGTGTATATATGTATATATGTATAAATGAATGATTTTCGATTCTTGTCAACATATATTTATTTCTTAATAAAATTGAAATATCTATTAAATAAAATTGTTTAAAAAATAGAAACGATAGCAATGATGCAAATTAACATCATTTTTCACGATACATACATACATGCGTGTATGTGTGTGTGTGAGTCAACGTACTATATAAGTCTATGTATATATATGTAAATAAATCGTAGAGTGCTTGTTCACTTTGGATCTACCCTTTTATCAAAGTAATCGCAAAAGTCGTAGTGAGAAGCCAACTTGACAAAAAAAAACAAAATATATATATATATATACACGCGCACACACACACACACACACTTACATATGTAGATATGATTGCGCCTATGTATGTATACGTCAGGAATGGAAGAATCATGCTCGACGATTTCGTCGAATCATTCTCCGACGTCGACAACCATAAATCTTCGATTAAATTCATCGTTACTCGTTGTTCCGTCACCTTTGGCGATAGTTCAAAAGAGAACTCAGTAGTCGGTCATTTAAAATCAGCAATTAATTATTAATAACATGAGAGTCATTCGTTCGCGATTGTTTTATTCTGTCGAAGAAGGAAAAGAAAAAAAAAAAAAAAAAAAAAAAAAAAGAAATAAAATATTAAAAAAGAAATGGGGAAAGAAAAAAAGGAAAGAAATATAAAAAGAGAGAAAAAGAGAGAAAACGTTGCATGCATTTTCCTTGGAAATGCATATTTTCTTTCTCTTTTTCTCTCTCTTTCTCTTTCCCTTTCTTTATTTGCCATGGGGAGTTCAGTTTACACGACAAAGGGAAGCAAAACGCATCCCTGTCTTTGATGAACCGGACACTACTATACCATACTAAGTAAGAATATAAATCAAGTGTCTACATACGAATAGCATATATGTTGTGTCGGTATACTGTTGACAGCTCTCGATAAAACTTTTCACGTGATTGCCGATGAATATGTCAGTAGAGTGTAACGAATGAAAAGAGAAACATAGAAAACATCAAATTCCAAACGCAAACATTGAATGTGTATACATATATACATATATACGTAGATATCTAAGGTATATTGCGTATGTACATGCGTACATGCGTAAATGAATGAATGCATAGGGTATAACTCTTGTTACATTTGTAACGTGAACGATAAGCCATTGACAATGTTTTCTCTACCCTCGCCTTGAATCATTTTGTACGAGTTACTTTTTCATTTCATACCTAGATTTGTCGAATAAAAACGAATTTCCAAGGAAATGAGAAGAACTAAATCGCCAGATAGGTTGATAGATTGATCCGAATGGACGGCTATCAATTCTGCACCCACTTCGTAACGAATTCGTCCACCATGCATAGTACGACATGTATGTACGTATATATGTATGTATATATGTATGTGTGTGTATATATGTATGTATGATAGGAGATCCTGGCTGCTATCGGCCTTTTAATTAAATGCCCTGTCATGAGTACCGTTCGATTCCATATTCGTTGAAAACGAACACCCATGTACGATCCAATGAATCCTAAATTTAACGTTCAAAAATATACCTCTCGATTGTCATCTTCAATTTTTATCCCAACGTTCTTTGATATAATTTTTTGATAAATTTCATGATCATCGATGATTCTACATACTCGATCAATATTAAACTCGATAGTGTACAACGTTAACGTGCGTTCTAATATCTTTCATAATCTTGTTAAAGGATTATGATGACGATGACGATGACGATGAAGATGATGACGACGATGATGATGATTATGATGATGATATTGGCAACGTATACGCATTTATAATTACTAAACAACCAGATTTTCGTTTCTTCATGATTTACGAATCAATGTCTTTCTTATATCTTCGTTAACAAATTTAATGAAAAAGATTTTAAAGCTGAATGCATCATTTGACTTAATTCGTATTTACTTTTTATACATATATATATTATATATATTCTTTTTTCTATAGTGTTTTTTTTTTTTTTTTTTGGAATAAATTATACACGTATTTTATTAAATACATATATGTATAAAATATATAAAATATACCTGTATATATACATATATATATATATTCTTTTATTTTTCTTTCGTTCGTGAAATGAAACACATGTTACAAATTAGCAAATCGAGAAGTATTAAAGTTGGCACGCACACACGTTCTAACACAGTATACAAGTTTCGCGTCAGTTATATCGACCCGATTTTGCAGTTACTCGAAATAGAAAGCGTACTTCCCTAGAGGCTTAGCTCTTTATCTTCTACTTTCAACTTGGGATGAATTCTCTGATTCTAACTCACCGAAAATGCATCGAGTATCCTCAGATTTCTGATATGCCAAGTTACTATTTATCGATATCTCTAACATGAGTCACCAAAACATAGATAGTTTTATATCACCATAATTTCAGGAAGCGTTATTACTATGCCTCTCAATCTGGAATGCGTCCAAAGATTGAAATTATTTCACGCTAGTGCTGCTGCAACCTTCATAAGAGAAGCAATATCTGTGTCTGTATATATATATATATATATATATGTTTGTGTGTGTGTGTGGGTGGGTGGGTGTATGGATATATATGTATATTGGGAAAACGGCTATGTCTGCGAGATGGCTAGACCCTTGCCGAGCTTAAAGAAGGAAACTTTCAGGGTTTTATTTTTATCCCAGGAGAAAGAACTGCAATACTAACAAAAACTAATTTACACTGGGACACTTATTCCCTCAGGAACTGGCATCCAATTCGCAATGATAATGTCCACAGGAAATTCTTAAGAAGCTTAAAGTTTTTTGACATTAACAAACATCTCATATTATTTTTAATCTCGATTTAGATACGGACAATGAATATCTTTTTTTTAATTTCATACAAGATTTCTTTCAAAAAAAAAAAAAAAAAAAAAAAAAAAAAAAAAAAAAAAAAAAAAAAAATTACACATTCTGTTATAGTTTTTTTTTTTTTTTTTTTTTTTTTTTTTTTTTTTTTTTTTTTTTTTTTTTTTTTAACAACACAAATACCCCATCATTGTTTTCATTATATTACAATAGTCTCATCATGTGCTAATAAAAAGCTACGAAATGATATCTAAATCGATAATAGCCATCATTTCGAGATTATTGATCTAAGCATTGAAAACGAATATCGATCAGAATGATATCTTACAGATAATTAATAAATTTAATTTTCTCTCGAATCTTTATGTTCAAAAAAAAAAAAAAATATATATATACATATATATATTAGAAATATATTATTTTCTACTATAATAAGTTATTCATTGTAAATCCCGAATAGACAAGTTTCATGTTATAATAATAATAATAATAATAATAATAATAATAATAATAATAATAATAATAATAATAATAATAATAATAATAATAATATTAATAATAATAATAATGCGAATGATAAGATGTAACGTAAAAAAATCAATAATACGATTGATGAAAGTCGCAAGAAAATTTTTTATAATAAATATAAATACAAAGTTAAAAGGCACGATTAAACGATTATAATTTCATCGTGGAATTAAAATGTTTACAATTTTTCTAATCACAATTTATTTATGATAATGCAATAGCTATTTTAGATAAATCAAAAATATCTAAATTTCAGATCCTTTCCACTGATACACACATATATATAACAGACACACAGATACAAGATCAGATTCATCCTTTCAACCTATCCCATTTCATTGATGAAGAAGAGAACATGATAGAAATAAAATAGCATCGAATTTATTTATTTATTTATTTTTTTTTCTAGGGAATTCAATACTGATGAGTTCAATTTCAAAAGATCGGAAAGTATTAAATTGAATGATTGTATTAGTCGATAGTGATGTAGTAAACATCAATAGATTTTCTTATCAAATTAGCTTCATAAAATACGGATAATATAAACTTTGTAATAGTTCATTTCGAAAAATCGTGTAGAATGATAAAAAGACTATTGTACGTCGTTATATTGGATTAACATTAAAACTGATAAAGAATTATCGGGATTTATAGTAAAACCTATGATTACGTTGATCATTACATTAATAACGATGATACAACCCGTGACTCGATACTTCAACGTGTAAAACAAAATTCGAAACAATGATTGTTACAAGATAGAATAATATTGAAGATATTTCTTATCATTACGATTCAGATTCTTAAACGCAAAGTGAACACTTTAGGGTGAAGAGAAAAAAATTTTAAGGTTAAAAAATTCACAAGGTCGAAAGGACACTTGCCAAGGTAACTCGAGTGGTCCCTTGGCCATCGATGAAAAACTTGATGGTATTCGTCTCCCTTGGGAACTTGGTTTTTTCCAGCACCCAACAACACTCCTGAAGTTTACATCGAAGTGCCTAGCTTATCGAGATTGGATACGTGCCAAGTCTGGAGTCTAAGCTGGTCTTTATGTACCATCGCAATGTCGAGTTTGTTAGTTAAAGAGAATTTTTCTTTCATAGGAGCAAGAGAGATAGAGAGAGAGAGAGAGAGAGAGAGAGAGAGAGAGAGAGAGAGAGATCGATCTTTAATTATCTACATCACAATTTTGTCGAACAATTAAATGACATATAAAATATTACGAAATGTGTTTGTGTCTATAAATTTCAATAAATTGAATTTGTTTTAATATCATAATTGATATATATATATATATATATATATCATCTAAAAATTAATTTTCTTTTATCATCCTCCACTTTTAGGAATCTAAATAAAAATGTCTAGATAACAAAACTGTATATTTTATTAACGATAAAGTTATTATTGTTAAAGACATAAAGAACAGTTTTTTTTTTTTTAAACTAACGTAACATTTCTAAATTGTCATAGATCAGCTGACTGGCTATTCGTATTGTACTTACGATACTTCTCGAGACATCTACGGTATTTCGATGAAATGCCGGCAAGCATTTTGCAAGAGAATTTCGATGGAAATGCATTCTAGCGACGAGGAAACGGGTTTGTCAAATTTGAAGTATATAATGCGAATATATTCGAATATTAGAGAATCAGAAATTGAAATAAAAGAAATGAAATAAGAAAAAGTTTCTGATTTACGTGAAATCCTTTTATCTTCTAATCGTTCAACACGTGACAAAATCTCACAAGAATGATCTTTAAATCCTATTAAAATAAAATAATAATAATAATAATAATAATAATAATAATAAAACTCTTAATTAATGTTTCCTCTGATAAACATTTTTTAATTAAAATTTTTACTCAATAAAATATCTAAACGAGAAATTTCTATTCAACTCGTTAATATATTTTTTCGTCAATAATACAAAATTATTTCGAGATCAATTCTATGATCCATTTTATGAATACTACCTCGAAAGAAAAAAGAAAAAAAAAAAAAATTATAAGAACGTATGATAAAAATATTATGATTTAAAGATATAGTTTTGAAATAGACAATCAATACGGAATGATGCGACCTAGTCGAAACGCGTTATCCGTCCTATCGATAGACATGGATAAATAAAAAGAAACGTAGTTAGATAAAACACTTGAGAAAAATAGATCGCGAACGATGATATACCTAGTATGATTAGTTTAAAGAATTAAGAGAAATGAAAGAGGTAGAGAGAGGAGACGAAGAGGAATGAAATCACGATGACAGGTTGTGACGATTTGTCGAGGTATAAATGCTTGACACACTAACGCCGAACTATCAGAATCTATTTTCAATTTGTACGAGACAAATATAAGATCGCCAAGAATGAAGAACTTATTCGTTGTTATCAATATACTGGTAGCCGCTGTGTCAGGTAAGTCTCAATTAATTTTATTTATCGTGGCAAGTGGAAATCAATGTAAAAAAAAAAAAAAAAAAAAAAAAGAAATGTGCTTTGATAATAAAAAGGAAAGGGAAAATAAACAAGAAAAAAAGAAAAAAAAGAACTTCAAGACGTAGAAACATTACCCTTTAAATTCTTATAAAATATATATCTCGTTAGAAATAATATGCGAACTAAGATACCCCTAATTATTCATTCCAAAGATCTTGAGCACAGTTTACAGAAGAGAGAGAGAGAGAGAGAAGGGGGAAAGGAAGGGGAGGAAGGGAAGGAAAAAGGAAGATAGTATAATCTCTGGTTACGAAAGTAAAACGAAACTAGTTGAATCGTGAGAAAAACTTATCGCGATCTCAACGATTTATTCCCCTTCTTTGATAAGCCTACTTCTCTCCAACACGAATTCTTTCTACGTCTTGAGTGATTAATCGATTCGGTGATTCGTTTTATTTCAAACTGATGATATAAAACAAACGATTTATAATCCGAATAATCGATGAGATCCAATAAATAAAAAGTAACAAAAAAAAATGGAAAAGAGGAATAAAAAGCGAAGAAGAATGAAAAAAAAAAATATATATATATATATATTATTGACAAGTTTAAAAGAAAGATAAAGAAAAAAATTCTTCTTCCAGGTGTGCCAAGTGATTTGCCAAGGATAACGAGCCGAATATTTCCAGAGGGACGTATAATTGGCGGAGAAAATACTAACATTATACAGGCCCCACATCAAGTTAGTATTCTGATATTAGGTTCACATTATTGTGGCGGAAGCATAATCAATAAGGAATGGATTCTCACGGCTGGACATTGCGCTGGGAAACCCTTATCCTATTATAGCGTACGTACTGGATCGGACAAGTCTACTTCCGGTGGTATAATCAATACTGTGTCAGGAATATATCAACATGAAAACTTTTCATCTACCTCGAAGGGTGTACCATTAAATGACATAGCCCTTATTCGTTTATCCATGCCCATTGAAGAAAACGAGACGCAAAAATCTGTAACATTATTTTCAAAAAATGAAAAGGCCGAACCAGGAAGCATCGCAATTATCACGGGCTGGGGTAAAACAGGACACGGTATGCCAGAGTTTCTACAAACAGTGAGAGTTCCTGTCATCGAGAAAGTCGATTGTTACGAAGCTTATGAAAAATTATTCGGTGGTATTGGTGAAAATCAAATATGCGCGGCTTATCCCCAAGGTGGAAAGGATGCCTGCCAAGGTGATTCTGGCGGTCCAATGACCATAGGCGGTCGTCAAGCTGGTATAGTTTCTTGGGGTAATGGTTGTGCGCTTAAAGGATATCCCGGTGTCTATACCGAAATCTCCAAATATCACGACTGGATCACTAAGATAACCAATCTCAAATTGTAAATTTCTCTTTGTTTGTCTCGTCCCCTCTCCCATCTAGTCCCCTCTCCCATCTAGTCACCTCTCCCATCTCGTCTCTTCCCTATCCCTATCTCTAACCTTATGTTTGCCCACATAACTTTACATCTGTACCTATCTGACACGTCTGTAATTAAACAGATAAGTTAAATTAAGAGCCGATCGAGTGAACGATAAGATGAAGGAGAAATCGATCTTTTTTCGTTTGACTAAACGAGAGAACATATACATAGATAGAATCGTAATCGAATTGTAAATGAAAAAGTCACACTTATAATCACTACTAAACTACTATCTATAATATATAACTAACCTATGTTTGTATCTGCATTTTCCCTCGTGAACGTATGCCTGTAAACATGGACTCGTGCGTAAATCGTTTCCAATTAAAATGATCAAACTAAATACGAGGACCAACTGCATATACTATTATCGTACTGATCTCAATCTAAAAAGTTACATGCGTCTTAGTCGATGAATTATCTATTAAGCCCAACAAGAAATATTAACACATTCGATATATTTTAGATATATAACATTATAAATAGAATACTTTGAGATAATTATAGAAATACTTTTATTATCGTATTATATCATCTCTACATTTTTATATCCTCAAATTCATTAATAATGTTAAATAATCGTTAGTATGTAAAAAAACTTTAAATTATATCCATCGCAATGTACACATAATTTATACTTTCTTTCTTCCTTTCTTTCTTTCTTTCCTTATTAATCAAACATACCGAAGAATGATAAATAAAGGTTAAAATCTACATGAATGATTAAATATGAAGATGATAAAAAGATACCATATTTAATCCCAGATGATTTATATAATTTTTGATGTATCAAAGAATGTTTATTAAGTCAACACAAAGAAAATAAAAAGGATGAAATAATATATATGCATATGCATATACGTAAATACGTAATATAATGTTCGATATTGTGGAAGGTTATGAACACGAATTTCGATTTAATCGAAACGATCGACAACGAAGGTGACTTAAAACAAGTCTTATTTATCATAATCCTCTATCACAGAAAATCAGAGATACAGAATATCTTTAACAAAAGAGCTATGATTGACTTTATTGATTGATGAGACAAAATCCTCGAAGAAAAAGAAAAAAAAAAAAATCTTTATCAATCTACGAGATATACCTTGGGATTTGTATCGTATTTGTAAAACGAATGGATCAAGTACACGTCATTTCACAAAACGTTGAAGATATTATATCGATTTCATACAAAAAAAAAAAAAAAAAGAAAGAAATCATTCAAAAGATTTTATTATAATCTCTGTCTGAAATCGTTCTACTGCAAATTCGAGTTTCATATAAATAGACGTCGGACGATACCGAATGCATCAAACAAACGAAAGAAATCAACATGTTCGTACAATTAACAATTGTTTTCCTCATTGCTTTTACAGCTGGTAAGTAAAAGATGAAATATATTAAATATAATATTATATATATATATATATATTAACATTTTTAATATCGGTATTCATTATTGAAACATTCTGCCGGACAATAATTTTTCAACTTTATTGAAACATTATGCATGAAATATTATAGCGGATCCTATTCCGAGGGTCCCAGTTTTGAATCCTTACACGCCAACCGGTCGTATCGTCGGTGGTGAAGATGTCCAAATCGAGGAAGTACCTCATCAAGTACTTCTACAGGCATTTGGTTTTGGTTTCTGCGGTGGTAGTATCATTGATAAAAATTGGGTCCTTACAGCAGGTCATTGTGTGAGTTATTCACCATCGACAATAACTATACGTGCTGGAACAACTACAAAGACTTCAGGAGGTAGCCAACATAAGGTATGTTTGTCATTATTATCCTTTGGCTTGAGAAAAAAGAAGAAGAAGAAAAAAGAAAAAAAAAAGAAAAAAGAACAAAAAGAAAAATAAAAAAGAAGAAAAGCGTTCTTCTCAATATTTCGTCATGATCCTTTTTTAATTAAACGAATATAAATATAACAGGTGGCAGAAATCATCAGACACGAGAAATACAACACCAACAGTTATGGTGTTCCTGAAAACGACGTGGCATTGATCCGTTTAAAAGATCCATTCAAACTCGATGAAAAACGTCAACCGATTTCTTTGTTCAATGCATCCGAAGAATCTGTTCCTGGAGTAAAAGCTACGATCAGTGGTTGGGGTGCAATTTATCCAGGTGGTGCAGCTTCGGAAAAACTTCAGATCGTCCAGGTTCCAGTGGTCGCTAAGGCAAAATGCAACGAGGCTTATTCCTCGTTCGGTGGGGTACCAGCTGGACAAATTTGTGCGGCTTATCCAGAAGGTGGTAAGGATGCTTGCCAAGGTGACTCTGGTGGTCCTCTTACTATCGATGGTCGATTGGCTGGTATTGTCTCCTGGGGTAATGGTTGTGCGAAGAAAGGATATCCCGGTGTTTATACCGAAGTGGCAGCTTTCCGTGAATGGATCGATTCTAAGTTAAACGCTTAAATTCGATACTGGATCAATTTTTTATCGATCGACTGATAATAATTATTTGTTCCTTTACATTATTATGTTTGCGACTTAATATGTGGATAATTCTTTTAATACGTTGGTACTATTATTGTTACATTAATAGTACTCGTGGTATAAAAGTTTTATGTACTTCTTAAATGTACATAAATACATATATATTTCTAACAATCGAAATAAATGCATGAAGATTAAAATAGCAGTTAAGTTCATGATAATCCACCAAGAATCCTTCGTAATCTATCGATTCTTACCTACTTTACCACAAAAGAATAAATTCTTTTGAAGGTAAAAGATCAAAATGAAATATATCTAAGCTTATAGAAAGTGGCTATCCAACTGGCTCTAGTTATATATATATATATATATAACTAGATATATATATATATATATATATATATATATATATATATATACGTCTCACATAGTTGCGTTTCAATCGGTTCTGTCGATTGGCTCGGTTCAGGAAAGAGCAAAGGAAGGGAGTCAATCGATTGGAAGGGAAAGTAGTGCTGCTCTCATTTCATGTTTTTCATGAGACTTTTCCAACGTGTGCCCTTTTCAAAGCTTTCTGGCCTTTCTTTTCTTTTTTTAACTTCTTTCCCTTTCTTCTACATATTTTTTTTTCGTTCTTCTTTTTTTCTTTGTTTTTTTTTCTTTTTTTAATTCTTTTTTCCTCTTTTACATCACCCTTTTTCCTCGCGTCTCTTCACGGGATTGGATTTTCGTTCGATGATGTTGGAAAAGTATCAAAAACGAAGGATATACATATATATATATATACACATACACACATACACACACATACACACATACATACATATATATATATATACATACATATATATATATATATATACATACTGTACTGTCGAAAACTGTTTCACTGACGTATTTGATCTTCCAAGTGGCTTTCGAGACGCTTTTGAGTAGCAACATATTTCAATAGATCTACATTTTTATGCATATTCTACTTAGATAAACGATAAGTCGGTACTTCACATTTCATCTACATAGTTCATATTTGTATAATCTCCGAAGTCCATATGGTATTTAAAAAAAAAAAAAGAAAAAAAAATGGACGACATCGAACAATTCAATTTTTAATTTAATCATAATTAACCAAATATGATACATTCAAATTTTTTCTAATTTACTAACTCGATTTCTTACCGCATTTCCAATCAATGTATCATTAATTCATTCGATAAGTATAATTAGAACGATTAATTCATTTAAAATTACGAATTTTATTTGTTAACATTCCTGTTAATGATAAATTCGTGATAAGAAAAATAATGAACAATAAAATTAAACATTATCCTTTCGAACGATTTGAAAATTATCGTCAAATAAGTAATATAAGATTATATCGAAGCTGTTAATTAACGATAGAGAATCCTTCGAATTCATTTATAAAGTTATCGGAAACGTTCGTTCAAGTTATATCCGATCTCTTTATCACTTCATTATCAGACGATCGAATCATTCGAATGTATAGAGTTTGAATAATATCAATGGGACTGCGAATAGTGGATAAATTCAGGAAACGATCGAAAAGATCATTATCTGAAGTAATTAACAGGATAGAAAATGAAATCTCCGATAATATTTATAATCTTGAAATTAATGATTAATTAAAAAATAAAATCTTTTCTTTCCTTTTCTATTTTTTTTTTTTCGTACGACAAACAAAATCAACTCGATAAATACACGTTCTTTATCGATTTTAGCAAAGGCTTTATTTAGAAAAAAAAAAGAAGAAGAAGAAGAAGAAGAAGAAAAAAAGAAAAAGAGAAAAAAACAACTGACATCCAAAACGATGAAAGAGAATGAAAGAATGAATTCAAACACACGAAAGACGTAGAATCGCAAGTAGGTTAAATATATGAAGTTTTATATTCGATTTGACCCTGGAGGCATGCTTGCCAAAGGTGATTTCCTAGATTCCCATTAGTCATATAGGTTTATCATCAAAACGATTTTATGGTAACGATAATGTAACATAAAAAAAAATCCATTGTACTTTTAATGCACTACTCGATTTTATATTATGTATACGAACGATGTATAATCGAACGGTCATTGATATTATATCGAAGGAGTTATAATAAAAAAAAAAAAAAAAAAAAGAAAAAGAAAGAAAAAAAAAATAGGTATCGCGTTGTGAAGGAAAAAAAAATGTTATCATTATTTATTTATTGATTTCTTTCGCCCCCCCCCACCCTCCTCCCCCTTCCACCTACCACGTAAGAATTAACTTTATTTGTCAAGTATGTTACTCTTGCCAAAAGAAGTAAAGAAGAACAGGAAGAAAATGGGTCCAGCAATTTAAGAAGTAACGAAGATGGACTTTGGTGGGACTTAATAGGAACTCTTTTTGAAAGGCAGCCAAAAGCTACGAATACTGCAGTAGAAAAGAACCTTTAGATCGTAGAAAGAATTGAGAAAGAAGAGGGGAAAAAGAAAAAGAAAGAGAATAAACGTCCATCGCTCTTGGTTGAACAATTTGAAAAGTTTATGATATACAAACAGATATTCAGAGGCTCATACATCTCCGTGTTAACAGTTATCACGAGAAGAATTTTTCTTTTATCAGGTAAAATCAGTTCTATACGTTTTTTATCTTCTCTACATAAGTTATCTTGCAAAGAAGATAATCTCTTTTATTATTATTATCGTTTAACAGGCTGCGACACTATAAAGGTCTCTCTCTCTCCCTCCCTCTCCCTCCCTCTCTCTCTTTTTTCTCTCTCTATTGATTTTCATGAACCTCATTCGTCATCTCGTTCGTCTAATTTCCTTTCTTGTTCGATTAAAAGAAAGCACGATATATGTAAATATGATCGATGAATAAGGTTCGTCAAACGAGACGAAGACGTATTCAAGGAAAAGCCAGGAAGAGACAAATAATCGGCCGTTCCAATAAAACCGAGTCGATAACTTATTTTTAGATCACTCTTGTAAATGTGGAGATAAGTAGAATAGGTATATACGTATACGAATATATATAATCATGTATACTTGTATAATAGATGTTAGAAAAGTCGACGAAGTAGACGAAGAAGGCCAAACTCTAATGTATCCTATATAAACGGAGTTTATTCGGGGGAAAATATTTAGTATAAAGCTTTTAAAGAAAATACGATAATGTAGAATTTTTTTTTTTTTTTTTTTTTTTTCATATAGATAAATTTATATACATATGTATATTAAGAAATATATATATATATATATATATATATATATATATATATACATATGTAGACAAAATAATATGCGATCTAATGGATCGAACATGAGACCATCGATCTATGAAATTCGATTAACTCGTTAAAGTTCCTAAAGGCTCATAGCAAAAGCGCATGGCCTGAAAAAATATCAATTTTCTCTCAACGGGGAGATAAGTTTCGTTACCTAGTTTGCGGCACGTTACGTGAAAATCCAGGTTGTTTGAAGAAAATAAATATGTACATGGTCTTCGTCTATTTATACATATATATTTACATATGTATATGCACATATATTTACGTATGTATGAAAAAAGGAAAAAAACAAAAATAGATCTTCCCTAAAGCATCCAGATGAATTTTATCTCTTAACTTTTCGGTGAATTCATATGAAGTCAGGAGGCGGTCACTCGCTTCGTTTGAACTTTTGACCCCGTACCATGCGTCACCATTAACGCATGTATCCCATGAAACTTATTATGACATAATACATAGACAATTATATAGATGTACACATATATACGTACATAAAATTTTTCTCATTTTTATTGAATTTTCCAATTTCTTAATTTTTGTTGTTTTTCTATTCTTTTCTTTTTTTTTTATTCATCTCCTTTTTCTTTTTTTTTTTTTTTTTTTTTTTTTTTTCGAAAATTAAGAGATGTGAGTCGTGCTAATTCGATATAAACTACTTTACGTACAGTGACGTCAACACTCCGAATATATTTCCTTGCCAATTATGTCAAATACGAAGTCACAACGTTCGCCAAGTTAGGGATGACACAGTACTATTACTACTACTACTACTATTACTACTACTACTACTACTACTACTACTACTACTACTACACTACTATCATTACTACTGCTGCTGTTGATATATCTTTAAGATTTCCACTATGAAGTAATATCGTTATTGTCCTACTCTTAACTATTAAACCACATTGTTTTTGTGGAATAATAACACTAATACTGTTATTACCACTGTTGTTGATATTACCGATGGTATATCAAGAACATATATGATATATCATTGGTGTTGACATTACTAACATTGTTCCATACTGATTTTCTTCTTCTTTCAGAAATATTTCATTCGAGATTCTATCAATTCTTACAACAAGATCTAAGTAATTTAAAAAAAAAAAAAAAAAAAAAAAAAAAAGAAAATAAATAAATAAAAAAAGAAACTAGAGAAGAGGAAAATATTGAGGTCGTTGATTATTAATAATTAATAATAAATTTCTTGATATTATATTTTATATTGTGAAGTTGATTTAACTAGTATACAGTAAACATCGAATTTTTCATTTCAGTCACGATAATTATCTTAATGGATTAATGAACGAATCACGATTATTTCTAAGCAAACGTGTTCATTATCTCGCACAGAAATTTTCGCATCTCTTGCTGTTTTCCGTATCAAGAAAGAGAGAGAGAGAGAGAGAGAAAGAGAGAGAGAGAGAGAAAATTTATTTATATGCTACACACAGAGAGCTATCTGCTTTTATCGTATTTCTCTCTCTCTCTCTCTCTCTTTTTCTCTCACTTAATATTTTAATTCTTAACTAACAGCAGATTTGAAATCTCACCGTCGAATTAATTAACAAAATAGATTTTTCTAATTAAGTTTAAATACACATAAAAACAATACAGAACGATATCAGCTATCTTCTTGCTTGTTTAGCTAATGAAAAATTTCTTGTTTTCCTTGTTTTTTTTTTTTTTTTTTTTTTTTGTTTCTTTTCATTTCTTTTCTTTTTTTACACACGTTTTTTCTAACATCGAAATATTAACATTAAATGAATGAAAGAACAAAAAAAATATATATATATGTATGTATAATAATGAAATGAAATAAAATAAAACTATCAAAATGGAAATGATCCCGGTCTATAATCCATCATCTCTCATCCCTTTGTTACAACAACTAAACGCTTATGTACATATGTTTTATGTATCTATCGAATAAGTAAGGTAATGGCTTTTAAATGGCAATGATATCGTCGCATTAACCCTCCTGCAATTACTAGTAACGAAGTTCTCTGTTTAAAGTTACTCATGGGATCGATCGATCGAACGTTAGTCAGTCCATTCTCCCGAAAATACTGTAAATAGATTTTCCTCGACAGACAACGAAGATAAAGTGTTACATCACAAAGCTTTACTTCAAGATTTATTAATAAAATATATCAATGTATGACAATATCTGTGAAATGAGTCTACTATAATCCCACGTAATATTTATTTATCTCTAATTTTTTTTTTTTTTTAAATTTGTTTCATAAGTTTCGTAAGCATTTTTAATATTTAATTGTTACTTCAGGTATGAATTTTTTTTTTTTTTTTTTTTTACAATTTAAATATAACATAACTCGTTAACGCTTAATATAGGATAATTACATTGGTATAAGTAATATTATTACTTTATCCAATCGTATAATTTTTTTTTCTTTCTCTTTTTCTTTTTCCTTTTTTCTTTTTCTTTTCTTTTTTTTTTTTTTTTTTAGAACTTTTTAAAATATACGTCGTTAATTAATATCGATCTTAATATTTATAGAATACATATAAAATATATATAGACATATACATATCTAAATACATATAAAGACGTACTCATATATATCATGAAATCTCGACGTGCTTAATTGTTCATATAACTGAACTGAATAATCCTATTCAAAGCATCAATGGTTACGTAATTATAGCCTTTATACCTGGTGAACCATCCCCAACGATATCCAAAAGTAAGCTTTACTATAATAAACCAACGTAATGATCGCTTCAGGTGTTGCGTTCATTTGTTCGTTTGTTCGTTTGTTCGTTTGTTCGTTCGTTCGTTCGTTCGTTCGTTCATTCGTTCGTACATTCAATAATCATTATAAGGAAAATACGAAAAATAAGCAGATCATCATTCCGAGTCAACGGCGTGAACACGATACGAATTACGTGAAAATTTTTGTTGATTTGTAAGTGAATAGAAAATCGATTATTGCTAAATATCATTGATATAAAACAATTATGAAATATATGCATTTCCATTTGATACGAATAGTACTTGAATGATCGATAATGAAATGATCTATGTTGATCCCTGTGTTACCTTTTTTTTTTTTTTATGTCCTCGAATAAACGATATAATATAAAATTTATAATATGACTTAATATGACAATAATTATCGCTATCTTATTTATAAGAGGACAGATTTAAATTTGAAAAAAAAAAAGAAATGTATCGAAAGTATTATAAATATTAAAAATTTACAATGCAATTTATAATAATTATTATTACTGTATTATTATCAAAAAGATGTATGTCGAATGTAATATTCATAAGAATTTAAATAGAAATAATATATTACAAATTTATATAATTTGATAGTTATAATTTATAATAATTAGTATTATCACTGTATTATACTAATTGTATAACATTTAATATTTAATAAACATTAACCTACCTAATGCAAATCATATATGAATTAACAATTAAATAATTTTTTTTTAGCAAAAAAGATAAAAAAAAAAAAAGAAAAAGGAAATATATTTCAAAGTTATATCATGTTACAGAGGATTAATAAAAGAAAAAAAAAATAAATGATGATTATAATCTCGTTAAAAGGGAGGATGTTCTTCGAAGTGTTCGAGATCTTCAACTTAATCTGACATAAATGAAAATGCTCTTCAACATCTTTATCTTCATGACGCTATTTATGTTAAAATCCAAATGGTGTAAGTATTATGGCCCTACCAAGGGAAACATTTGTGCCAGATTTGACCACAAGAAGTGTGAACGACTGTACAAGGGTTAGTCTCACTGAACAACTCTTCCTACTCTAATGTGTTTTTAGGGAAAATTGTTATATATTATTATCTTGTGAATCGTGTATCCCTTAATTGTACTTCACGTCTAGGGCCAAAAAATTCAATTAAGCTTTTCCTCTTTCTTTTAACATTTTTCAATTTATAACAAAAAAGAAAAAAAAACAAAAAAGAAAATAATAATAATAATAGTGGCATTATTATAAACGTGTAAATATTGAATTCCATTAATGAAACGTATTAAAAGAAAATTAAATAGTCAAACCTCATTATAAATATTACATTTATTAGAAAAATGTTGCTTCATTAAATCTATTATAAATACTTTCTGATTTATATTAAAAAAAAAAAAAAAAAAAAAAAAAAAAAAAAGGAAAAAAAAATCGAATACAATATTGTTTATTCAAATCTAAAATACTGAAAATTGCAACATTATTTACTAATTCGCCTAATATTAATAACCATAATAAATTACATAAATTTGGTCTTGGTATTTAAACAAATTATTATTTATTCGTATGCTCGTTGTAACGTAAAAATGTCGTCCTTAATTCTATAACATTTCATAAATTAATTTAGTATTAATTTAGTACTAGGAAAATCTACTGCTTGAAAGGTTAATTAACATTTAGCGAAACATGTTTTCTACAAATCGGATTACAACAGAGCGAGACGGTCGAGTTGTAAATTGTACGAGCTAACTGAAGAGGGATGTCCAAAAGGGATGTCTCGTTGTTGAATTAACTAATATAAATGTCCTAACGGATGATATTAAGTGTTATATTTACCTTTTATTTTAACGTAACACGCAACCATTTTCATCAGTTGTTATTTATTGAATCAGTATTTTAAATAAATAAATAATCAATATTTATAATATAATATCAATATGTAATACAAGCGACGATAGCAAAACTGACACAACTGTGATACATAATTATTTATATTAATCAAAATATTTAATACCGATCGTTTATTTTACAAAATATTAATTAATAAAAAAAAAAAAAAAAAGAAAACTGATCAAATAAATAAAAGTGATTTTACATTGAACGAGATTCGTGATAATTGTGCTCATAAAATTTATAACGACTTAATCTGTGATTTTACGTTCCCTTTGATATAAATGTAACGTCAAATTCAGCTGAATTTGAAAGTAAACGAGTGACTGAAAAATTAAGTTCCTAAACGAGAGAAAAAAAATAGATCTATATAGAAAGAGTATGCATATATGTATTTTCATGTATTTCATGAAAAAAAAATTAATACAACATGGGTCAAATATTTCTAACCGATTTTACTACTTTACGAGACTTTTTAAGCTCTATTTGTTTTTTTTTTTTTTTGTTTTTTATTTTTTCTTTGTTTTTCTTCTTCAGATTATAAAACTACAAGTCTAACAAAAAAAGATCAGAAAAAATCTCGTTAAAGGGTAATCGATTTTTAAAATTATCGAAAAACTTTTGGCTAACCTAAGTACTTTTGATTTACCCTACGTAAATAAACGTAACGTACATAAGCCTTCCCGTAAATATTTTCAGAAAAGAAGAAAAACCTAGAGACAAAAAGAGAGATCGATTTATAGATGTCTTGAACAATTTTGCGAGAAAAAAATAGTCAAATTGACGACAATTAATAATCGAAACAAAAGCCGTACAGTGAGTGCTTGGAAGTGAGTTGTTCTTGAAAATAAACGAACATAGTCCTTTTACGATTAATTGTGAAACTAACAAGAATAAATAAATAAGTATTAAAAAAAAAAAAAAAAAAAAAAAAAAAAGAAAAAAAGTGAAGAGCGAATAAGAAATGTATGAAAGATAAAAGTATTATCGAATGAGAGTAATAAGATAAATATATTCAATTATGAAAGGAAATCAAATGAGCGATCTAATTATAATAATAATAATTATTATAATAATAATAATAATAATAATAATAATAATAATAATAATAATAATAATAATAGTAATAGTAATAGTAATAGTAATTACAATAATAATAATACACATTGTAATTATACATCAATGTGTAATACACATACAATAAGTATACACATTGACAAAGAACATTAAACGCGTAGACGATCGCGATACGATGGTTACACAAATATAGATAGATAGCGACATGAATATTTTATGCATTGAACGAAGGCCGTACTATCGACCAAAGTGCAAATGAGTTTTGTACAACGTCGAAATAATTGAATAAACGAAGAATGGTGTCAAGCGAATCTGTTTAAGTATCTTATGTGGAGTGAAGTAGTAAATAAATCGCAATAACCTTCGTTATTTGACTTGTTAGAATTGGAATGAAAATCTGGATAAGAACATGAATAAAATAAACAGTAATAATAAAATAAGTAAATAAATAAACTAATGAATGAATGAATGAATGAATGAATGAATGAATGAATGAATGAATGAGCAATGAATGAATGAGCAATGAATGAATGAGCAATGAATGAATGAACAATGAAAGAATGAATGAAAGAATGAATGAAAGAATGAATGAATGAATGAATGAATGAGTTAGTGAATGAATGGACTCATACATTTTTACGCTATTATACTCGGGTCCTTCGTCCTTTTTCAATTTTGTACTCGACACGAGGGGTTAAAAGTGAAAGTGAAAATGAAAGAAAAAAAGAGCAATGAAAAAAAAAAAAATAAATAAATAAATAAAATAATAAAAAGAAGAAAAGGAAGAAGAGAAAACAAAGTAAAGAAAAAAAAAAGAATAAAAGAAAAAAGAAAAAAAAAAGGAATATAATAATAATTACAACAACGACAAAATTCGTTTCATTTGTACGCCTATGCTTTCGAGTTTACTGCCAAAACGTGGGAGAAATAAATAGAACGACCAGTACGCATGTTGGATCGAAGAGAAACGGAACGGTACAGAGAGGATTTTACGAAACGTAAGTGTATGTATCTATACATATGAGTATACATTTCTAAATATGTGTATGTGCATGTTACGTCTCTCTCTCTCTCTCTTTCTCTCTCTCCCTCTCCTCTTTCTTTCTCTGTGTGTGCGCACGCACGTATATGCATAAGCACACGAGAAGAAATAACATTAAATTCTAATTTCTAAAACGGGAAATAAAAAGATTAAGCTCGGACGATCTAACTAGCCAGAGCTTTGCGTATACTTAAATAAAAAGCCAATCGTTTTTAACACGCTCTAAACAATCGTATGTACATGTTCGACTGGCGACAATCGGATTATGGTCTTACATATATATACACATATAGCAGACATCCACGCTATATATATATATTTTATATATATATATATATGGTATAATGTACTTACACGTATATAAATACATATACTCAGCAAAAGCAAAAGGATCGATCCTTGGAGTCGCGTGAGCTCGTTTATTCTTTTTCCATTTTATTATTATTATTATTATTATTATTATTATTATTATTATTATTATTATTATTATTATTAATGATATTATTATTATTATTATTAATATTATTATTATTAATTTTTATATTTTCTTCTCTTTTTATTCTTCTTGTTTTCCTTCTCTTTTCATTCTCTCAACAAAGCGCCAACATGAAGTTCGTACTTTTTTTGAGCGTTATGTTGTCACTTTGATAAACATAAGTGAAGAGAAATGAATTCAAGGAACTTCGCGCGCGCTAAAAGCCTAACCTCTTCTTCTTTCTCTCTTTTTCTCTTTTTCTTTCTTCCTTTTTTTCTTCCTCTCTTCTTCTCTCTCTCTTTCTTTTTTTCTCTCTCTCCCTCTCTCTCTCTCTCTCTCTACACCTTTGCTTGGTATACACGAAGAAAAATATTCCATGTGAATTAAACAATGAATCTATTTATTACGAAAATCAATGTATTTTATCTCAGCACTTAAAATCATTTAGATACATACTTCCTTGCTTGACGTTTCGAAATCGTATGACGAAATTATCTCAAGTTAGAATGCTGAAACGCCATTGTCATTATGACTAGTTATATCTCGATAAGCTCAATGGAACAATTGAGGAGAAAAAGAAAAAGAAAAAGAAGAAAAAGAAAAGAAAAGAAAAAGAAAACAACAAAAAAGAAAATCGATATATGCTACCGAAATTTCATTCCCATGGAAATATATATATATATCATATGTATACATATATATATATGTATATATATATATACGTATGTACGTATGCAGATGATGAATCGAAGAAAAAAACAAAAGAAGATTGAAATTTTTACGCATTAAAAGAGTAAAATGGCAAAACATTTGGCGCTATTCTAAGAACTTCAAATTTCAAAGATCTTGGCAAAGCGTAACCTCAAATTTACGTTGGCCGTAAACGACGAAGATTTCGAAGTAATACCCGTTTAAAAAAATTTATCTGCGCATCAATGAAAAATTTAGTACCGTATATATCTTTTGTATTATAAATTATAAAAATATAAAGTACGTGAAAATGTAAAATCGTATTGTCGAAAAGATAAAGAAAGTTAAAATGGCGAACCCTCTCTAGTAACTCATTGGACTTACCATTGTTCACGTCGTCCTCCGTTCTTCTTCGATTTTTCCAAGTCCATCCGTTCGATGATAAAAAGATTGTCGATCTTCTTTTTGATTTCGACGAAATTGATCGTTTCAATAAGAAAAATCGATGAAGAAATTCTTCTTACTTCTTTTTATTTTTCTTCTTATACTGCGTACTACATACGATCACGTCAAAAGTGATTAATACTTAGTCGGAAGAGAAAACGCACCAATGATAATGACGACGATTAACGAATAACAACCAATCGTCACGCTCGATTCAATCGCGCGAATTTAATAGCCAATTCCACGCGGTTACGCGATCGCGTGTAGACACGTTCGATCCTGGTAATGATAGTTGTTCATTGGACAACAAAGAGCAGAAGAGAGACAGGTGTTTGGAGGATTAACTAAAAAATTTTTAAAAAGGAAGAAAAGAAAAATGACGACGTAGTGAGAAAAAAGAATCTCACCGATATAATTTGTCCTTCTTTCTTATTTCACCGTTCATTCTTCGTATTATTCTATGTATTCCTATTTATCTCTCTCTCTCTCTCTCTCTCTCTCTCTTTCTCTCTCTCTCTCTCTCTCTCTCTCTCCCCTCTCTCTCTCTCTCTCGTTTATAAAGAAATTATCGAAGAAGTTTCGAGTACGAACGTGTGATTCCTTTGCTATGCTCGCGCGTTATGTCACTCGGAAGAGTTCCTGGCAAATGATCAAAAGAGATCGCTGACTCTGACCCTCTTTTTGCCCTCTCTCTCTCTCACACACTCTCTCTCTCTCTCTCTCTCTCTCTCCTTTTCTATTTCTTTCTGTCTCAATGTAGAGGCCACGATAAACGTCGTATCTATTCTCTTTGTTCTCCTTTCTAATCGCCCAATATTGTTTTCTTTAACAATTTAGAAGAATATCTCCTTTCAATCTCTCTCTCTCTCTCTCTCTCTCCCTCTCTCCCACTCTACCTTTCTCTCTTTCTCTCTCTCTCTCTCTCACTCTACCTTTCTTTCTTTCTCTCTCTCTTTCTCTCTCTCTCCCACACACACACACACACGCAACATACACGTAAAAGAAAATTTTACAAACCCACGAAGATAAAAATTTTTCTCGTTAGATTTCCTCGCGAATAAAAATATACGCGTTAGATCTACGCAATGTCATCAGATGTCTTATTCTCAGTAACAATCCTATCTCTCTTTTTTCATTTCCCTTTCTTCCTTTCGTTTTCTTCCCTTGTAGCGAGAGCCTTTTACGCACGCACCACACGCACGCACGCGCGCGCACACGGCACACATACACACACGAGAAAGGGGAGGCGGGGAGCGCGCGCGCGTCCGCAAAGCTCCGCGGTGTCTTTCAGACTGAGGGTAGTTTCGTCGACGGTGGTTCAACTACATCACCACCGCCACCCTTCGACCAAAACTTATACTAAAATGTCGTCACTCGACCAACCGTCGTCCTTCCTTCTTCTTCTTCTTCTTCTTCTTCTTCCTTCTTCTTCCTCCTCCTTCTTCTTCTTTTCTTTCTTCTTCTTCTTCTTCTCTTTCTTCTTCTTCTTCTTCTCTTTCTTCTTCTTCTTCTTTTCTTTCTTCTTCTTCTTCTTCTCTTTCTTCTTCTTCTTCTTTTCTTTCTTCTTCTTCTTCTTCTCTTTCTTCTTCTTCTTCTTTTCTTTCTTCTTCTTCTTCCTCTCTTTCTTCTTCTTCTTCTTCTTCCTCCTTCTTCTTCTTCTCTTTCTTCTTCTTCTTCTTCCTCCTTCTTCTTCTTTTTCTTCTTTTTCTTAAATATTGGACGATCCTTGCTATATATTCTTATTCGAATATTTCTTAATAAATATTACGTAAAATGTAATCTAAATAATACAAATTTTCTTGTAATTTATTTTCTATTTTCTCTTTTTTTTTTTCCTGTTTTCCCTCGTTTTCTCTTCTTTTCTTTTTCTTTTTTTCTTTTTTTGACCACAAACAAGTATACGTCTTTTTGAAGTAACTCGTTATGTTCCATCTTCATTACGTTCGATTAAAAATTTTTCATACAGACATTATTTTATCATTACATAATATTTATTGTTTTTCTAATACATGATTCTGTCATTCGTCAAATAATATTTATTTAATTTTATTCATTAATCTTTCGATATAATCGTAACGCAAACCTAATCGACATAATTAGGACAAATCTGAAAACGGTAGGATTTATTAACGATTACAATATAATGATTAATTTTTTCTTTAAATTAATAAAAAAAAAAAAATGAATATATACGTTTGTAAATTGTAAAAATGATTGTATAGATGAAATCAACAATTACAACGTTATTTAAGTAATGATAAATAGGTTTCGATGTAATATATATATATATATAAGTATTATTGTTATCGAACTTAAAAATTATTAAAGGTCACATTTTGGGAAAAAAAAGCAACGTCAGGGTTATTTTCATAAAACATTGTAGCTTTATCGCTAAAATTGTTTACTGAAAATATATAACTATCAGGAAAGAGATAATTTTTTTGTATAAATTTGCTTATACCTCAAAACTCTATTAAAATTCATTGGAACTTCTTTAAGGAAATATCATTTAAATGCTTCGAGTCGTTTCGCCTTCGTCATAATATTAAAAAAATGTAAAAAAGAAAAGAAAGAAAAAAGGAAAAAGAAAAAGTAATAACAATAAATTGTATAATCTTTGAAACATATTTTTCGTATATATTACAATTTTATACTACTGATAGAAAATGAATCTTCGATCATCGAACAGAATTGTTGGAGGTGCATTTATAAATATCACGTCAATTCCATTCATGGTAAGATATCATAAACTTAAGAAAATTATTATAAACAACAATTAAAATATATAAATAAAAACATTGTTAATCTGATAAATTAATTAATCGAATAATGTCATTTAGATCTCGATGATGTTGAAAGGTCAACACATGTGTGGTGGTGGTATTCTCGACGAGTATTCGGTTGTAACAGCTGGACATTGTGCCCAAGAGTAAATTTAAATAATGACATAAATTAAAAGAAAAATAAAAAATCTTATATTAAAATAAATATCAACTTGTAGTGTCGTCAATCGTATACGTGATGTTCAAGTTCGTAGCGGATCTTCTTACGAAGACGAAGGTGGTGTCATTCATAATGTAACAAAAATAATTATTCATGAAAGTTTTAATCCTGATACAAACGATTACGACATCGCGGTGTTAAAAGTGAATCCACCATTCAAGTATGATAATAATACACAATCATTAACTATAGCGAAGAATGAATCGACTTACACTGATTTTGGCTTGGTAGCTGGTTGGGGATACTTTTTGGTAAGAAAATAGTAATAATAAAAATTTTGTTTATACATTCAATTTTATATATTAATTAATATTTTTAATAATTTTCAATATAATTTATAATTACAAGAATTTCGATCCGGTTCTCTCCAGACAATTACAATTCGTTATATTGCCAAAAGTACAAAAAAACGAATGTAAAAATGATTATACAAATGAACAAAAAATATCTGATACACAAGTATGTTATGGATTTCGTAATGGAGGAAAGGATGCTTGTAAAGTAAGAAATATAATAATTTTATATAAGTAAAAGTATTCGAATGATGATTATGATTCGTTATATCATTTGCACTTAGGGTGATTCTGGTGGACCAATGGTCAATATGGATCATGTTTTAATTGGTTTAACATCATGGGGTGATGGATGTGCAAGACCAGGTAAGCCTGGTGTTTATACTGATGCTATTCTACTTCGTGATTGGATAAAAAAACAAATTGAAAAGGATTAATATGAAACTTGATGAAAAATGACAGAAAATATCATTATCTATATCGATGATCTTAAAGAATATATTTATTGATACAGATATATATCAAAGTTATTGATATTGTTTATATATACATATATACATATATATATATATATATATATATATATATATATACATATATATATATATAAAATAAGTAATTTTACGATTGTTTAATATTGTCAATTAGATAAGTTGAGTTCCACATTTTTCCCATCCTCGGATATAACAAATTTAGCGTATTTGTAACGCAAAAAATTAGCCTTTACCTGTGAATGCCATGCAAGATAACCAATTTTATAAAATGATGGAAGTCGATCGAATCCTCCTGCATCTGCCAACGAATCATTATATTCCCATTGCTCGGTCATCATCTTATGTGCGTGTCTTTTCTTCGGGGCTTTCAATTTCGAATCTTCGAGCATCTGAGATTTCGAAGGTAAAGCAAGACGATTTTTTATAAGACTCAAGAAATATTGTACCTATAGAAAAAAATTCTTTTTTCTTTTATACGTTCTTCTTTCAACTGAATGCAAATGTTGAATTTAAAAAGGAGACAGCATTCTTATTTCAAAAAAAAAAAAAAAAAAAAAAAAAAAGAGAGAAAGTAAAAAAAAAGAAAAAGAATATATGAAAAATATCTTTAGAGAAACAAATATTTATACCTGCATATGAAACATAGGAAAAGGTATAATTTGTGAAGGTATACCAATAATAGCCATTGTTTGATGTTCTATATTAATAAGATGCTTATACAATGGCGTTACGTAATTATCATCGACTTTGACGTCACAACTTTCGTCTAAGAAAGGAAAACTATACTGATATCCAGTACAATAAAGAAATGCGTCAATGGTAACAGAAGTTCCATCTTTTAGGAAACATTTCGTTCCCTCCAATCTATCAACTCCAACGACTTGTATCATGTTAGATGGGAATACGCTCGTGAATCTATACGTGCATATTATATATATGTATATATATATATATATATATAAAATAAATTAAATAATATTAATACCTCTCTTGATTATGACTTAGATAAACGATAGAGGAATGATCAGTTAAATCGATTCCAATATCGATACCAGAAGATGCAGCACCCAAAATTAATACAATTTTATCTTTAAATTCTTCTGGCTTTCTGTATGAATGACTATGCATTACTATACCTGGAAAAGTGTCCATACCTTTTATAGCAGGTATATATGGTTCGAAATAATGTCTGGAAAAATGGAAGACAAAATAAACGATCAAACGTTCCTATAAAAAGTTCCTATGAAAATGACGTAGAAAATAAACTGTACCCATTACAAATCATAACTGCGTCGAATCGATACTCCTCCGTACGTTGATTATTTAATTGTTTAACACGTACCAACCATTTCTCTTCGTTGCTATTATCCAGCTTAATTGGACGTATATTTTCAACTTTTATGTAAAACTAAAGCAAATATATATATAATGTATATAACAATATCCAATATATCGAGCAATTGAAAAATTGTATATACATTGAAAAGAAAATGATATATGATCGATCACCTGTATGTACCTACGTAGTTGAAAGTGTTCCATGTAATTACGTAAATAAGATAAAATTTCATTGTGAGATATACAACATGGTTCCTGCGCATTCATTCTCATATAATCAGGAAAATTCATAATTCTTGCAGGTAAATTTGTTCTAAAAATTGTCTATGTATCGTTATAATAATAACAACAACAATAATAATAATAATAATAATAAAATAAAATGTATCATTTGACGAACCTTAAATTCTTATACATGCTCGAATGAATTGGTAAACCATTTTCATTTAAACTAATTCTATCGTTATATACCCAAGTACCACCAACTTCACCAGTTTGCTCAAATACCGTCATTTCGATATTTGTATCTCCCGCCAAATGTCTAGCCGCGCATAAGCCAGCTGCGCCTGCGCCAACTATGCATACTTTTTTATTAACACTCTGCGCCATCTATATATTTGTAATAAAAATATATGTGAATGAGATCTGTCGTGAGAACAGTCGATAAAAAAAAAAGGAAAAAAAAAAGAAAATTTCTAACAATGTATTAATTTCTATTGTATCATTAACAAACACCATGTACGGACATATTCTTGCCTATCGTAAATATTAATAATAATTATAAAAGAAATTTTTGAGATTGATATGGCATTCCTTCTCAAGATAATAAAGTTATATGCAATAATCATATTTGTGAAGTTTTCTACTTACTGTTTTCTTATCAAACTAATTATTAGATAAGAACTTAGAGATAGTCGATATGTTTTTTCTTTTTCTAGTAAGAATTATTAAAAATAAATAAGAAAATTCCAATTATTTTTTTTTTTTTTTTTTTTTTTTATAACAATTGTTATAATTATAATACGTTTTGTTTTTTATTTCAACGAGACAAAAAATTCGTTTGACGATGATTTTCAAAACTTCTTAATAACCATTAATTTTCGAACTTTTGTCTATACTATACGATACAATATGACAACTATTTATTGTAGAAACTAAAGTCGATTTATGTGCCATCCTCTTTTTATATGCTTCAGAATTTGTTGAACAACGGAAAAAACAATACTAACGTTGAGTCAAAGGAAACCGCAAGTCGACCTCGAATATATTGACATACGTATTTACATAACTCAAAAACCTGAATATCTTTGTTAAATGATAAGATACATAATACTATCTGATAAGAACGTGAAAATAGTGATTTTTGTTATGTCCTAATTTATGATTGTAATAACAAAGCAAAAATTATCTCACGTTTTAAGATCGTTCAATCAATTTTCGCTCGAAGCATGTGATCAGCAACAAGTATGGACAAAATATGAATTATAAGGTACATGCGATATTACATTATCGATACAAACATTATCTCTATCACTCAATGCGTTTATCGTATCGATGTATAAACTCGTATTTATATATAACTTTTTCACACGTATACATAACAATCGTTCTAGTGTGAGTAAAATAAATAGCATTAATAGGTTGTATAGTCAAATTTTTGAAATCTCTCATATTCATATGTTCTCCTTTTGATGTTGTATCATGCTTAGAAAAAACGCATTTATTTTACAACATAAATGCATGAAGAATAATAAATATAATTGATACATATTGTGATATAAAATAATATAAATTTACGACAAAAAAAGAAATATGTTTTTGTCGAATATTTCGTGAAAAATAATAATTAAGGAATACTTAATATATTAAATATTATTTTATCTGATATAAGTATATATATATATATATATATATATATATATATATATATATATATATAATTTCTTTTTCTACTTCTTTTAATTATTCTTATTATTATATTATATATTATTATTATTATTATTATTATTATTATTATTATTATTATTATTATAGTAATAATATATCAAGTGAATCATTCCTACAAGGAAAACCACAAAAAAATAATATTGGGAGTTTTATCTCATAGATAGAATGGAAACGATTTTATGTTTTGATCTTTATAAAAATAATATATATATATACTGGAAAAAATACTTTTTTACTCAATTTTTTTAAAGATAAAGCTTTGCAAACAATTCTCGCTTAAACCTCTATCTTTAAAATTAGATCTTGCTCAAAAAAATTGATTTAAGAATTATACTTAGACTCATTGTTGACATAAACTATTATAAAACCAGGAATGATTAACAACCTCAATCATATTTTACGTGTTCCGTATGGAATAGTATATTATTAATATTAAAATGTATGAAATATCTCAGACCTTCAAAATGACTTGTTTTCTTTTTTCCTTTATGCATAACAAGGAATTTATATTTTCAATGGAAAGCTAAAAAAACTAACATTAAAATATTTATTATAATTATTATTATTATTATTATTATTGTTATTATTATTATTATTATTATTAATTATTATTATCATGCTATGTCTTAATAACGCATTATTACCATGAAAGTAAACTACATCATTACAATATAAGTATTAATAATTATATCAAACTTAGTTACGCCCGATCGTGAACAATCAATAAACAATAAGAGTCTATGTTACAACGGATTACATTTGTTACTTCGACCCTAAACTTATTATAAAATAAGAAAATATAATACATAAGTAAACGATCTAATTCTAATTACAGCTTTTGTTTTCTTCCTTGACATAATATATAAGTCTAATTACTTTTGCAAAACAATTATTTCTATTTATCGTTTCTTTTTGTTTTACTTTTTTGTTCAAATATCTTATCATACGTTGCATAATACGTACATAAGGAGTATACATTATTAGAAATTATATACAATTATCAACGACAACGGTCGTATTTATTCTTTTATACTTGATCGTACTTATAGATTTGGTTGTCATTGAAGGAAGCACTAGTAAAATTGAAGGTACACGTCAAATTCATCGAATTAGACAAACATCCTGATGAAATAAAAAAAATAAAAAAATATATGTGATATATCTGTAACGACATAAATATCAAATTTGTTATAAAAATTAAAAAAAAAAAAAAAAAAAAAAAAAAAATTAAAATTAAAAATAAAAATAAAAAAAAAAGAAAGAAAAAAACGTGTACTTCCAACGTCAAAATACTATTCCTCTTCATTTATTTTCAATAATTTAATTGATAGAATTGAGTAAAAAATATACATTAAACGACAATGTTCATACATCACTATCAACTATATCTGTTCATAATCTTTTTTGTTAAAAGAGATGTATAAACATGATTGAAATTACATCATCCAATAATCACTGCAACTATCCGTAACATTTTAATTCTCTAACATAATAGAGACTTATCACATATCATTTTTACATTTATAATACCGAAATTATATTTTCAATATTTTATATAATAATTCACATTTTGAACTAATTACAAGATTTATGATTTTGAAAAATTCCTTTGCCAAAGAATCACTCATAAAAAGGGATACCTAAAGATATTTGCATTAATTTAATTTTTTTTCCCTTTACAAATGGAAATTTCACGAATGATATTAAATATTATTGTTATGTAAGAAAATCCATTCTAATTGTGTGGCAAATCTGGTAGAATAGTGCAGTAACAAATATTCAACATTTTTTTATGATAGTAAGAATCTGAAAATGCACGTATATTTAAACAAATATCTTGTTTTTTAACTGCACTATATATATACATATATACATATATATGTGTATATATGTATATGTATATATGTATGTATGTGTATATAATGAAAATAATATTTACTTTCTGTTATAAGAAAAAGAAAAAATAATGAACGGATTGTATCATATGAAAAGTTACATTGAACAAAACTGCAAATGATTTACTCAAATTAAACATATTTGAATGTTAAAGTTTAAACAGTTCTAAATTTCTATATACAAAGATGCTTAACTCGATAATAGAAAACATATACCTGCTCAATTGAGGGATCATTAAAACAGTAGAAAAATTAATTTACAATAAAGAATTTTGTACAAGTATTTGTTTATAATTACGACTTGCATTAGCCACGCATGCTCGTTTTTAATGTGCATTAAAGAAATTCTCTAAAAAAGATCTTCCAAAGTCTTATAGCCATATAACAAGTAATTATACATTGTATATTTGGTGTTATACTTTGATTTCTAGTGCAATATTTTATTTACTTAAATATATATATATATATATATATATTTTTCTTCGTGAAGTACTTGCGCTGCTGTATTTTTTATTTGCAAGCAGTTTAACTTCTTTAGTCGAACATGGTGACTAAAGACTTTGCATTAAACCTCAGACTCATAACATAAAAACATTCCAAGGACCCAAATTTAATACCCTTAAAATATGAAGTACAATGTGTGATTAATATTTATTATTTTATTATTAATATTATATTAATATTAATATTATTATTATTATTATTATTATTATTATTATTATTATTATTATTATTATTATTATAGCAATTATAGAAAAATGAATGCCTAATAGCATTCCTATGTGTAAGTTAATACAAAATTATACAATATAAGTTTTCAAGAAAAATGAAAATATAATAATGTCTTTATAACAAGCTGTATATATGTATAAAATCACAAGCAAGTAATGTGATCATAGAAAATATACATTGTTCAATATTTAGTTGATTCCTCTCAAATTGACGGTTAATTATTTCATATCAATATTGAATTGCATTTAGATAATGCATTTAGACTTTTATTAATTTCTTGGACTCATGTGGAACAGTAATTGGGCGGATTAAGTAGATCATATCAATATGAACTTCAGTATGCGATTAAAACTTTCATGATATTTCTTCATGCAAAAAGTTGCAACATTTTACAAGGCCTTTCATACAATAAATCTTAATGCAATGTTTTTCCAAACAAAAAAAAAATATATATATATACACACACACACAAGGTACAGCACTTAATGGAAACATTTAAATATCTTTACCACTCATGAATGTATAAAAAAAAAAAAAAGAACTCTCTGAAAAAAGTTATAATGTTTTGTTTTGTTTTTAGAAATATATCAAGATCGTCGATGTTTCATTTCTTTTTTTTTTCTTTTTTTTTCTTTTTTTTTTTCTTTTTTTTTTCCTTTTTTTCTTTTTTCTTTTTAATCGAAAACGCATTATTTTTCTATATATTTATAGAGAATAAAAAACAAATTCAACGATCTATAAAAATTTATCTCATGATTCAATGGTTCTTATATACATATATAACATATATATCGAGTAAGTTACCTAACTTGATAATCTCGAATTACTTAAAAATTGTTTAGTTTTTGATTGTAACAAATTCAAGAAATATTGAATAAATCTTTGTTCGAGAATTCGTTTATGCATCAAACAATTAATTAATAATTTAAGATAATCAAATTAGGCGACTCATTCAATATATACATATATAAAAATCATGTTTAATCTACATTATGAAAATTTGTAAATTTTTCAATGGAAAGTTCCTTCTTGCAAAGGCTAAAAGTTTTTCCAAACTCTTATGGAAATCAGCTTATTCAACGATTACTTCGATTAACATTATTTATTGTTGATAGCAGTCTTTAGTCAACAATAATTATTAATATTCTGATATATAATTCAAATACTGCATTTGCAATCTGCTATTACTTGAATAACAATGATGCGTCCATAGAAATATTTTCACTGTCATTCCTTATTATAAAATAGAATGCTGGTGAAAAATAAAACTTATTCTTATTAAATCATTCTCTTGGACACGATTACAAAAAATAGTAATCATAATCGTTGTTTCTCAGTAACATTAGCAAACACTGAGTCTATTAGATAGCTGTATGCTTTTAGCATCAACCTTCGCTTACAGAAGATAATGAACTGCGTGTAGAACCGGCAGTATGATGTGTAAGATCAGGAAGATCTGCTGGTAAGCATAATGGAATAGCACTAGGTCCATAAATTGCTTCCTGCTCTTCTAATTGAAGAGCAAATTGTTCTTCAAGTCTCTGTAATGTGAAATAAAAAGGATTAATTATTTGTTAGTTTGAAAAAAATGTATATAAAAAACAAAAATACTTGTTACAGTTTTTAACCTTAGCAAAATGGGAATTGTATCGTACAAGGTAACTTACAAAATTTTCTGTAACAAAGTGAACAAAAATAGTAGCATACAACACATTTAACTAACCTTTCAATATTTTTTATAATACTGCTTTTGAAATCCGACTGTGGCATCTCTTTATATTTTTCTTTTACAAAGGTTCTTGTGGGAATATTTATGCGCAAGGACTACAATTACAAATTAGCATGTTTGCTATTAGATACCCACATAAGAACCCTTTTAAAAAAAGCTTTTATCACATAGTTCTACTACTTGACAAAACATAGCGTGAAACCAATAGTAACCACATTTACCCATATTATTTTCTTCACATAAATATTTAAGCTTTGGAATATAAAATTAATTGAACTCTTTATATGTAATTTTCATATGACAAAGGACGATGATGATGATGATGATAATAATAATAATAATAATAATAATAATAATAATAATAATAATAATAATAATAATAATAATAATAATAATAATAATAATAATAATAATAATAGTAATAATAATAATAATATAGCTGTAATGGAAAACACAACTACGAAGCTATGATACAAGGCACATTTTCAATGACATAATAACTAATCAAATGAAATTGTAAATCACATACCAATCTTGGTACTTGAATATACTTGAATATTTATTTTTATTTTCTGCAGTAAATATTCATAAATATTGTATTGAATTTATTCATAATTTACATTAGATGATACTTAAGTGTACCTGTGTCATTATAATGTGTAAACTTATTCTCTTTTCTTTTACTTACTTTTTCAAAATTTTGATATATTACGTAAGCCTGGCCACAGTTATATTAACGTATTCTATCACAATTTATATGATAAGCTAGCAGCAAAATATAAATATATGGTTATTTAATGCATATCTTCTAAATGGATATATATATATATAAACAATATCTATTTCATAAGTTGAAGTATACTCATTAGTACCAACTCCATATAAAGTGTATAATATGAAGAAAACAGCAATAAAGAAAGCACATGGAATGTTATATTGTTGAAAACAGAAATAAGATTAATTTGGAAATATAAATATCTTTATCTTTGTTCTATATTGTTTATTTATATTGTGTTATTTTATATCATATTATATATTGTGCATTTACTTGTGTAACCAGATTATGTTATAAAACATACTAAGAATTTTAATTTAACGAAACGAAGTTATATTCATTATATTTATATTTCCAAATTTATCAATAAACAAGAAGAATGTATGAGATATATGATGTTGGCAAGTATTATCTATGGGACAGACGAGATGGCATTAAATCTGGTTTAGAACGACTTCGAACAAGCGTGCCATTTGTGGAAGTAGTATCTGAACCAGTAAATCTAAGAGAGGCTCTAGGTATAGTAAACGGAAATGGAGAATTTGGAGTAGATCGAGGTAAATGACAAGATTTTTGCAAGATGTTAGGAAGTGATATATCAGAATAATTAAAGGAAGGTAAAGAGAAACCACTAAGACCAGAGGGCAAATAATCTCGGTAACGAGTTTCCAATGCCTCCATTTCAGCCGCCAGCACAGCTTCTATCTTCTACAACAAGTAGATTAAAATTTAATTCAATAATTTACTTTACTTTCTTTTTTATGGCTCATTGAAGATCATAGTAACATGGATGAATTACTATGTAATTATTACAAAGTATCAAGAAATTTTTATTATAGGTTCAATTCAACTATATGCTACTACATATATATATATATATATATATATAATATCTACATCTTATCATTTCTCATTTTACATTTATAAATTGGCCAAATGATTTTTATTCTAAATTCGAAAATCTTATTTGGGAACCAAACTTGATAAAAGCAGAAATAATAAAAGGAAAAAATAGTCTTTAGGAATCATACAGTAAATAAGCAAATAGTTTGAAAATTAATAGTAGAAGCAAAGAAGAATGATCAGAATTGAACGACTTACATTATTGATATGAGATTACACTTACTTATTCACGTAAGATTAATGGAGCAATACTAAATTTTATAATTTACCTGTTTTCGTGGTTTCAATTGTGCCTTCCACTCCCGAAGCTCTTTACTGTACGTTTCTTCTTGTTCTTTTAACTTCAATGTCTCATGCTCCATTAGCATTTTTCTCTTTTCATTTTGTAGCTGTTCCAATTCCTTAATGGTAGCATCACTCTGTGCTCTAACTTCTTCGAGTTGTCGTGAATGCTTCAATTCAAATCGTTGCTGTTCAGCTCTATACCTCTTTTTCTCATTCTCTTGGAATTTCTTCAATTTTTCTCTTTCAGCTTCAGGATCCGACGCAATCGCCGAAGACATTGAAATTCTCATGGATTCTCTAAACATCATCTCGCGCGCTTTCATTTCGTTTCGAATCCTTTTAGGCAAGTTTCTACGCTCTACCGTTTGACGTTTTATCAATTCGTCTTCTTTCCTCTGATTCATTCTTTTCATTTGTTCTAATTCTTTTTCATGTCTAATCAACATCTGATGTCGCTGCAAGAAGAAAATATCTTTGAGCTGTCTCTTCAACAATTGTTGTCTTTCGTGTATCTGTCGTTCTTCCAATTCCCAAATAGCTGCTTCTCGAGCTCTCATCAATTGCTGCTTCTGTTGTAGAAACTGTCTCTCCATTAAAGCAATTTTTTCACGATGACTATCCGATAATCTTCGCAATGACATTTCATGACTTTCGTTAAGTTTTTCTAAGAAAAGCTTTTCTCTATCCTCATGTTCAGCCTCAAGCTTTTCCTTCCTTACCTTAAAAGCTCCCTTTCTTTTTTCTTTAGGCATTAAATCAACCTCCTGTTTGAGCAATCGCAATTCCTGTTTCAAACCTTCACGGAATTGTTTCAATTCTCTCTCTTGTTCGCTACGAATCTTTTTCGATGCCAATCTAAGATCGGCTTCTTGTTGACCTTCTGCGCGTTCAATTTGTTGCCTTTGTTGTCTAGCGAGCGTTTCTAAATCTCCTTCAGCACCACGTTCCAACAATTGTCTTTCCTGTTCAAACCGTTTCTCTTGTTGATCTTTGTTGAATTGCGATTTTTGGGATAGATCTTGAAACTGCTTTTGTTCCATCTTTTGTAACATCTTTAATTCACGTAATTCTTGTTTCCGGAATATTTGATCGTCATAGACTTTACCATTTTCATCATCACCATATATTACTTTCGATGTTGTTGTCGTAACAACGACACCATCGATTTCAAATTTCCTAGTTCGTTTTCTCGTTTTCTTCTTCAAATTCATCATTTGTATATCTTCTTTCGTTCTAGGTGTTCGCGATACATCCCGATTATAATCAGATTTTCGACGTAGGACAACTTCCTCTTCACCTTCCGTAGACTGTACGTGGGACAAATGATTTTCTTTATTCGAACCTCGACTGTCTTGACTTATCGTCGTAGAAATCGATTCGGCATCGGAACGATCAATACTCTTACTAGGTGTATGCGATCTCGTTGATCCTGAATCACTCTGTGACCTTGATCCTTCAAAACTATCCGGTGACACGCGTTTCTCCTTCGAACTTTTTACATAATCATCTTTTTGTTTTGCCGATGTTACGACTCTGTCTTCGATACGATGACCAATCGACCTTTCACTTTTGATCATACCATTCATCTTCTTCGAATTTCTTTCGACGTCATTATGATCCATAATTTCAGTAGTAGTTCCTGGAACTGCCATTGACGTTTTGCTAATTTCATCGCCGCTATCGCTCTTCGAACTTATTTGTTCGATCGAACTTAAATTGCTGTGGGAAGAACCAGTTCTAACGACGTTATGTTTATTACTTATCGACGAATCTTTCACTCGTTCTCCATCGTCACCCACGGTAACAACAGAGACATGACTAGTATCTTGTAATTCGTCAACAATAGGACTGACGATAATAACTTCAGACTCGTCTAACTTTTTACCAACACGTTTGGAAGTATCCATAAGAATAATAGGTTGCTCCTGTGGAGTATATTCCAAACTATCCAGACTAGGGAAACCGTCCTCGTCGGTTGAATTTTCATTAACTTGAGTTTTATTCGTTTCATTTGCAACGATAACTACCTCCGATGTAGGAGAGGAACGTCGTAGTAAAGGAGTTGTAGCTGTTGCATCTACTAACACTGGAGGATGTGTAGTAACAACGGTAACTTGACTCACGTTACTTGCAAGACTGTTAGATGGATCTGGAGAATCGGCTGTAATGCGTACGGTTGATCTATTGGAACGTACCTCTTGTTCGCTTTGAGGTTTACCTGATATAACAAAATAAACGAAAACATATTTTGGTATGACCGATTTACAATTAAAAATTAAAAATTACAAACTTGAATAGTATTTTACCAGTAATAACAACTATATTGTCTGCACTACTCCTTCGAGATGTACTTCTGCTTCTGATAGGCGTCGAAGTTATTACAGATACATTAACGGCAGAACTTTGACGCTCATAATTTTTATTATCCTCTCTATTATCTCCTTTCGATCTGTGTTCCTTATTTAACCATTTTGTTCTCTGGTGTTTACCATCAAAATCATCGGGAAAGTTTTCTAAAGAATCATTTCTAGAAGAACCTTCGCTATGACTGGTCAAAATATTTTCGACTTTATTCAGACCATAATCCGTCTTAATATTCTCCGTAGAACTTGCTTTCATACTATTTTTTTCTGATAACGTAACGCTCGTTATATCAGACGTATGCTTTAATGTTTCAATCGACGTAGTACTTATCCTCTTTTGCGTATCCATGGTAATACGTTTTTCTAAAACCGCATTCAATTTATCTTCTACGGATTTTCGTTTTTGTTCCAAATTTTTTAGATTATCTTCAATTAAATATTTTTCATGTTTACGTTGTTCCTCCATCGAAGTTTCTGATTGGAACCTGAAATTAAAATAAAATTAATTAGATCATCATAAATCTTAATATTATATTGGATTATTAAATATAATCATAAATACCTATTCTTCTCTTCGAGGGACGATTGTTTATTATACACTGGTTTTACCCATTCATCCGATGAAGTTGACTTGATAGGAGCTGACTTTCGGTTTTCATCCATACTTGATTTTTTGGTTAATATATTTACATTGTCAATTAATTTTTGTTTTCCTTCGATACTTTTAGATTTACTCAAGGCAAATAGCGCTTTGTCAACAGTTTCTGTTGCATTAGTTTTATCTACGTTGTCTAACTCATCGTTCTTATTTGAGGGTCCTATTTTTATCTGATCTTTAGTATTTGGTTTTTGCTGCTCCATTTCTACTCCTACCGATTGGGATGATAATAAATTACGATCTTGTTTATCATCCTTAACTTTATTTTGACCTAACGATTCCATGGCACTAGATTTGTTTGCCAGATCGGCACAATTCTCTTTTTCATCATTTTTGTTATCTTGACGAACCGACGGAGGTGGAGGCGCAGGACCTTTATCTCTAGATATCCTACGCTCGTTATTTTCAGCTGTAGCTGGAGGTTTTGGTGCCTTAAAAGAATAAATTGAAAATATTTTTTTTTTCCTGTTTTTTTTTTTCTCTTTTTTGATGGCATATAATATTTAATAATTTTCTTACCTGTTTTTTCTCGTTTAATGCGTGCATATTTTCTTTAGATTCAGTTTTACGCAATTTCTTACTTCTATCTTCTTTCTCGCCATCTCTATTCATCTCCCGTTTGTGACTATCCTCTTTTTTCGTGGATACAGGTAACGGTGTAAGATTTTCTTTCTCGGCAACTGCATGACACAATATATATATATATATATGTATACTGACACATATGTAAATTTTATTTAAATATTATTTCTTAAAATATATATATATATATATAAATAATATATTACCTTTAACATCGCCATCACTGCGCATAGATGCAGAGTCATCTCCGAGTTGTTCCAATTCCAAAGGAAGCTGAGATGTACGTTGCTCCTATAAAAAAAAAAGAAAAAAAAATAATCCTATATATATATTTTTTTTATAATATTAAATATATCTTCTAATAAATATATCGTAAATATAAATAATAAGATATGTCATTTTCTACATACCAAAACTATACGAAAGTCAACATAGTATAAAAAATTGTGATATTTTCAATTTTTCATACTCAATGAATTCACTATAATGCTTAAAATCATTCAAATCATGTGGGGAATAATGGAGAAATTAATATAGACATTCTATTATTGAAACTACTAACCTGACAAGTACAGGGACGATGGGGCTGGCGAGGCCCAGGAGAGCCGCATGCACAGCCAAATATTTTAAATTAAACCAGCACATTTATTAAAATATAAATACGCGAAATGTATAAATACGTAAAAACGTCAAAAAAAAAAAAATAAATAAATATATTTTCACGTAAAACTAATAAATTCTATAATATAATTTGCTATCCAAAATTATATAAAAATATTATCAAAAAATAAATATTAGCAAAAAGTTGTATGTATACACATATATTTGTCACTTAAAAGCAGCTTACCAATACGCTGATACTGTTCTCTGTGTTTTTTTGCTTTTTTGGCCTTCTAATATAATGTAAGCATGTAAAAATATAATTTTATTATGTTTGCCTCAATAAAATTCTTTTGGTTATAAATTTTAATTTACTTTGGTATAAAATTTGTTGGGTCCATAAAAGATATTTGATAGTATACAATAATTACATAAATACATAAATCTAAGTATATTTTATCAAGTAACGATAATCCTTTATACATTAAAATATATCTTACCTCAGCTTCTTCGTCAACAAGTTCCTCTTCAACAACATCAGCTTTATATTCAAGCAATAAATCCCTTATTGGTTTAGAATCTAAATTTCGATTTATAAATGGATGTTTTAACAATTCGTCGGCTGTAGGTCGTGATGTTGGATCCTTTATAAGCGCTTTTGCAATAAAATCATTAAACTCTTTACTCCATTTTCCAGGTTGATCAAGCTTTGGTGGATCACTTTTTTGTATCTTAAGTAACACACGCATTGGAGACATTTCATGATTTGGTGGCTCCATTTGCGCAAACTCTATAAGAGTTATGCCAAGGGACCAAATGTCCACCTAAAAGTAAATGCAAAATTTCATTGAATTATATGATATAATAAAAATATCAATCAATATTACTTACTTTGAAATCATAAGGATTATCTCTAAATGTTTCGCATAATACAACTTCTGGTGCCATCCAGTATGGTGTACCAATGAATGTATCATGTTTCTGTAATGTATGCTTATTTTTTGCAGATACCCCAAAATCAGCTATAAAATAAATGCATTGTATTCTTCATTATAGTTGTACTCCAGATTCAAAACAATTATATTATTACCAAGTTTGACACCTCCTGCCATTGTTAACAAAACATTCCCTGCTTTTAAATCCCTATGAATAACTTTGGATTTGTGTAAGAATGCCAGACCCTTTACCATATGTTGACACACATATGATATTTGAGGTTCTGTCAGTGCTTTCTCCAACTCTACCATAATAGAATCTACAGCACCACCATCACAGTATTCAATCAACATCTGTTTTAAGAAATTATGTTATTATTAAAATAAAATAATATTTCCTTTATATATTAATTACAGATGTTAATTAAAAAAATATACCAACCCACAATTTGCCTTCTATAAAGTATGCTTCATGTAATTCAACAACATTTGGATGTTTACATTCGGACAAAATATCGATTTCAATCATGAAATCGCTAAGATCATCTTCTCCTTCCAATGCACACATTTTTGCAGCAGCCAATTGATGAGTTTGTTTATGTTGTGCCTAATAATAATTATAAAATTAAAAAGATAATAATACATAAAGTAAATAACCTATACGCTATTGTTTACCTTGTAAACTTTTCCAAATGCCCCATCTCCAAGTTCACCAACCATTTCCCAGAATTCTTCCGGGTTACAATCCATTTTAATATTATTATATAACTTTTTCTTTTTCGCATCATTGCCACCGAAGTGGAATGCCTTCTTTAAATTCGATAAAAACGACATAATGACTTTCTTTATCAACACACTTGTATATAAACTTAACTTGCACTATAATTACATTATGTCTATACACAGTTCAAATACTTGGTACATAAATTATGTATATTATGATCACAAAAAGTTTAATACAAATATCGCATGAAAGTATAATTCTCACTCAGTACATAAAGATTTCATTTCTTTAAAGACTGAATATTATGATTTTACTTCCATTTTCATCTTGATTAATATAGCAATCAATTTATTTTTTTGCTATGTCGTTTAATTTAGATCCCCACTGGATACCAGGGGATCATAACAGACCTCTCCCGCATCTTGATAAACTATAATTTCACTCATTTATTAATGAGTACCTTGGTATAAACTAACATAACTATCCATATTGAAAATGCAACCCATTATTAAAATGTAGCAGGTTTCTGAAACACAAATCAAAACAGAATATATTATTTCTAATACATTCAATTTTAATATCAATTTTTTTTTTATACATTCTTAAAGTAATGATTTGCGATAATGCAACATCTTACTACGATCGTATACAAAAGAGTTCCACATAAAAAAATGCAGATAAGAAAATAAGTCCCTCCCCGTCTCTCTCTCTCTCTCTCTCTCTCTCTCTCTCTCTCTCTCTCTCTCTCTCTCTCTCTCTCTCCTTTATTAAACTAGATAAATACTATACTGATAAATGGTATCAGAATGATATTAATCGTTGAATGCAAGGCTTATTAAGGTCAAAGAAAATCTTAGTATGATATTTTCCTTTTCAAATACAAATAGCAGATTCCTCTATCGCTATTAAATAAAGCAAAAGATCGTAAACGAGTATACATATTATTACATATGGCAATAAATATTCATACAGGAGTACATAGTTTCTTTAGAATTATCTCAACGTGTTTTTAATAAAATAATTATTATACTCAAGAGCCATTTAAACCTGCATAAGGTAAGTATGATGAATATTTGTTTGGAAAAAAAAAAAAAAAAAAAAAAAAAAAAAAAGAGAGAGAGAAAAGAAAATCACATCAAAATTCTTCCTTCTCGTTAAGGATTGAAAATCGTGCTGGACATTACGAAAATGTAAAAAAGAAAAAAAAAAAAGAAAGAGAAAAAAACAGTTTTATCACCAAACACAGTGTGCACTTCCGTGAAGATCCCGTGGTTTTACTCATCTCTGTTCGCACTAATTATCGCATTAAGAGAAGGAAAGAGAGAGAGAGAGAGAGAGAGAGAGAGAAGAAAAAGAGACAGAGAGAGAAAAAGAGACAGAGAGAGATACACAGAGAAGGAAAGAGAAAAAGAGAGAAACAGTTACCGCACATTCGATCATCGTTGATATATAAATATATACACGAATCGAGATGACACGTACGATATGACGGAAGAGAAGAAACATACGTATCGTTCACTTTCAAACGCTCTATTAATCAAAAACAATTGGGCAGGTGCTATCGTTCGACGGTCACGCGGTTGACACAATTTTGACAAGCAGGATTCGGTCATGCCTGGCCGCCATCGTACGGCGAATGCACTTTCTCCACCATCCTCGATACTCGAATCTCATTTCACAGGATGATGATTTAGATCGTAGAAAAATAATAATATTATTATTAAACGTGTATGATTAGAATACGTTCGAGTAAAAAACTGTTAACGTTCGTTTCATTGGGAACATTTATACAACGTGTATTTCATTGGATTCTATGAAAATAAGGAATGATATAAATCGTTCGTCTTCCATAAAATCCAATGGAAATTTCAATCTCGATTTATTATCCATCGTACACATTTTTTCCCCGTAACATTCGGCCCGTAACGAGAGATGAAGAAAGAATTCTAAGATAATAATAAATTTCCTTTTTCTTATAGATACGACAAAGTTGTATCTGACTCACGATATGGTTGGCCATAGAAGTTAACAGAAGAGGAAAACACGTTCGTGGGATGAAAATATGCGATACGTCCTCCGTCTCTCACCTTCCTTCTTTCACGAGTCGAGGATCCAAGGAAACACAAGTTCCATGTACACGAATGAGATATCTCGATATCTCTCTCTCTCTCTCTCTCTTTCTCTCTCTCTCTTTCTCGCTCTCTCGCTCTCTATCTATCTTTATAAACGCGCAAATATTTGTTATACCTTAATGTAAAAAGGCACGACAATCATTTCTTCGAACATTTAATATGTACCAACAACAGGTCTTGTTATAGATTACCCTAACGTCTATTAGATAAAGTTAAGCGTGCAAAACTATCGGCCGTGGATCAGTAAACTCAGAAGACCTCGATATACGCGGCCATTTTCAGCACACGCACATCACACACGATACTCCATCACGCCTGGAAGTGACGTAACCAATCGGCAAGGGCGGCACCGTTCCACGCGCTCCCCCCTCCAATCTCTTCTCTCTTCGTGTCTTTTTTTGCATTCGCAATACGACAAATCTTTTCATCCCCCCGGTATAATCATCGCCTAGAAAAACTATATATATATATGCATACATATATAAATATATATATTGTGTGTGTGTGTGTGTGTATATATGTATATATGACGTCTTTTTTATCTTTAAATCTGACGTTAGCGACTCGTAATCGAACGATTAATCGAAATAACTTTTCGATAACTATTACGATTTTCACGATTTTCCGAATCGAACTTCACGTTTCTTCTCTAATTCCTTCTCTTTGTCGCGTGTGATTTTTAAAACGATTGGTGAAAAGATCTTTTAACCAAGATAAACGGATCGTTGGATACCCGAAACTTTACAAGTAATGAAAATGAAGCATTTCTATGAATTTAGTTTTTTGAATTTAGTTTATTGAATTACTTACCGAGAGAATACAGTTTATTGAATTACGGAATATCGATGTTTGTGAATGTCGTTCCCATCGAAGCCCTATATGAACCTCTAATCTCATTAGATATTTTAAGCCTTAATCTGCGTATTGCTTTTAGCCAAAGAAAATTATTTTTATTTCTTTGAGATGCATTTTATTTTATTTTATTTTATTTTTTCTTTTTGTTCTTTTTATAAGATTAATTTTTATTTGGTATAATAATATTAAGTACATTAATTTACTGTTGTATTTTAATGTTGTTATTATTGTTATACGATAGATATTATTATTTAGAAATTACTATTATTAGAAAACTAATTTAAAACTTGATCTTTGATTTATACATCTAGTTCTTTTGTATTTTTTTTCTGGTTTTTTTTTTTCTCTAAAAATCAACGCTCTTTACATAAAAATTTAACGATAAATTGATGAAATCCATCAAGCAGTAGTAAGAGAAATCTCTTGTTTTTAATAATTAAATCAAATGACAATAAAAAATTTGCACTTATATTGTTTGCTCAAATATTGAAATTAAAAAAGATGGCTGTAATTACTGTCGTACATTCATAAATATATATTTTAATGTTGCTTGTCGAAACATAATTTTAGTATTTAGTACTAGTATCAAGTGATTTATGTGTCATATTGTAATTATCGTTCTTTTGTTTGTTTACAACAAATTAATCATATTTTACAAGAAATAAAACAAAAAAAAAAATAAATACTTACGAAATAATATAATTTTATGAATATTAATATAATAATATGAAGTTATAGGTTATGTAATTTGTAATAATGAGAATTGCAAAGTTGTATCTAAAATTTTTCGATATATAAAATTTTTATATTATTATTTAATAATATTATAAATTAAAATGATTTCAATTTATTTATTTTACATATAGAAACAAGATGTCTGGAAGGCAACGTGGTCTATTCCAAATGATATTTAGAGATTTTTTAGCATCAATCAGACCTAATGTTAGTAGACCAAAGTTGATGGGAGAAGATTATTTCGGAACTAAATATTATGAAGTACCAAATTTATCCACATTTATAAAAAAGAAACCTGCTCGATATTTTAAAGCTATAAACAATAATTTTGAACAAGAAATACCTGCAGAATGGGAAGCTTGGTTAAGATATCGTAGAAAGGAACCACCAACTTTCTTAGAAATTGAGACAAATTATAAAATTCAAATGACTAAAAAAATAAATGCAACTAAATTAGAAACTTCTAATAAAGAATTAGCAACTTCAAAGAAAACTAATGTACCTGTTGAAAAACGTGGATATGAAAGCTTTCCCATCTATGAGGAATATAATTCTACGAGTAATAACGAATTAAAACCTAAATTAAAACTAAAATAACTTATTATTAAATTATATAATAAATATATGTAGGTAAATAAAAAATAAAAGAGTAATATACGCTTATCGTGTTATGACTATAACACATCTTTTATATTTGTAGTCAATAAAACCTTCATAATATATACATCTTGTAGTATTAGTTTTTTTTCCATTTTGAAAATTGTTGTGTGCACTATTGATTTTACAGGAATACTATGTGTAAAACAATTTATTATTATTCTCTATCATCTATTTACATATATTTTCTTCATCTATAAGTCAGTCATTTTAGGACGAAAAAAAAAAGATCATAAATTTTGGCGCTACACCTGCAAGACGTTCAATTTACAAATAGTTGATGTTATATAAAAAGAAATACGCTTTGATCTTTTCCAGAATATTTTCGTAAATAAATCAACTCGAATAGAAAAATTCTGATACTACGATAACTTGTACTTTACAACTACAAAATTCAAGTGCTTATGAATGTATTTTTGTTCAGTGTTCGTCAAGTTAACACAATTTTTATTTTTGCATAATACTATTGCAATAGATTTTAATTTTAATTTTAAGTAAAATGAAATAATAAAAAAAAAAATCATGGATTTTGTCTGATTATTACAGAAATCTATTTATGTTCTATAAGTTTATATTAAACCGTAGTTTAATTAGTCTCTTTAACAAGGAAACTTTACTCTCAATAATGAACTCCAATGTTTTTAGTATACTATTACTTATATTATCAGGTATTGTGAACTCATGAAATGAACCTTACTTCTCAAGATATTAAAATGACAAATCAATTGTATCTGCTTTGAATATCAATGCGACACTCAATTGATAATTGTGAGAGCTTGTAATAAATAATATCCCGAAGTTTGTTCAAATACAAACTATCAGTCAACATCAAATACAAATTCTTCCATGTGGTAGAAATTGATGAAATTTAATATATAAATGTATAATGGAGGGTGCACTCATCAACCAGAAAAATCACTATTATCAAATAAAGCTTGATCATATAACTCTCCTTTCACCAATCTACCACCAAAATAACGACCGTTTAAAGAATCTCTTGCTCGTTCGGCTTCTATAATAAACATATATTATTATATTATGATATATAATAATAATATAATAATATTAAAAGAAATTATCTTACCGCTCATTTGTGAAAATTCGACAAAAATTTTCACAATAACTTCAGCATCTTCGTCATCTTCAGATTGTCGCTCATTATAAATAATGACACGTTCAACAACACCAAATTTAGAGCATTCGTCTTGAATTTCTTCTTTTAGACTCTCATCGATATCTTCAGGAGCTACCATATTTCGTAGAATGACAACACGAGACTCTACTTTACGCATAAGTTTTTGCATGACGAGATGTCGAGCACTCTGTCCTTTAATAGACATATTTTCTTGCTGTTGCAATGTTTGTGGTTCCGTTTCTTCTAATAATTTTTTTTGTAATTCTTCTTGTTGTTTCTGATGTGCAGCTTGTTCTTGCGCTCGTCTCATAATATCAGAATTTGCTGTTGTTGTAACTACTGGTATCTATAAATAAATAGTAATTAATGAATTTTTTCAATTAGATAATATATTACATGATATTCATGAAAAAAGAAAAAAAAACGTACGACTGGAGTTCCTACAATGGCGGGAGCAACAACAGCTCGAGGTGGTATAATAACTGGTTGTCCAGGAATTGGTTGTATAATTGCAGGTGGGCGTGTTAAGGTCTGTGGTATGGCAATACCCGGAGGCGGTATAACTGGTGCAACAGTTGCGACAGTTGGTGGTGCCATTATTGTTGCGGGTGCAATCGTTGGTCGTACTATTCCTGGTAAAGCTATAATGAATCACGAAAGAAAATAAATCGAAATGAAAATAAATTACAACCCTAATGTATGTAAATATAATAAATATCGTATAAATACCTTGATTCAAGATTGGTGGTGCAGTTGCTCCAAGTTTGGTTAATCCAAGTGCTACAGCATTGCTAGCTACTGCATCCATAGCTTGTATTTTTGCTGTAGCTGCAGCAGCAGCTACTGCGGCAGCTGTTGGCATCATACTAGTTCCACTTGGTGGTCCCATCAAAGCATTCGGTGGAGTAATAGCTCTACCAACCCTTAGATACTGTCCACCCAAGTCAAACAAATTCATAGATGCTATTGCTTCTAAAGCTGCTTGCATTGTTTCATATTCAATAAAGCCATAGCCTTTATGCCTATGTGGTGAACTTCCTTGTGCTAATTTACAATATGTGATAGGTCCAAAAGCTTCGAAGACAGATTTTATATCATCTTCCGTCAAATCATGATGTATAGATGCAATATAAATACGATTGTAATGTTTGCTTTCTTCTGTAATTTCATCAATTACTGATTGAGCTTGAGGCATATTGGATGGTCTTCCCACTACCTGAAAAATATCAATAAATACAAATATATTCGATGATATGTGTTATAACATAATATCATACATATACTTTTATATAAAAAATTTTAATTGTAAAAATAAATATATTCATATTGCTTCAAAAAGAGTCTGAAGTTTTTTATTTATCAATATTATATAAAAAACGGATATGAAGGATATGCTATTAACGATAAAACTATTATTTAGAAAATCAAAATTTTAAAGATGAATAAATTATTTTTAATTATAAGAATAATTAATTAAGAGGAATAAAGAAGAGGAATATAAAGGAGTTTTATATATGTTTATATATGGAGTAAAATATATTAAAATTTCTTTGTCATCTAAATATGTCAAATATGAATGAAGTGGAAAAGAAAAAAAAATAAGACAGACCAATATATTAGGATTTCGATCGAACGGCATTCTAATATAACGATGCAGTTCAATCGATTATAATTTGTGAAACAAAATAAAAATTTGCCGACCTCCGGCGGGATGATAGGATTGCTGGGGGACAGGAAATTCGTTATATAGGTACGTCCCGCTACCTTGATGTTGCGTCCACCAATCATGACACCATTCATTTGTTCTAAAGCAAGTTGTGCAGCTTCAGGTATCTCATATTCGACGAATGCAAATCCTTTATGTTTCTGCGTAACAGGATCCCAAGACATGTTGATAGACTTGATTGGTCCAAAGGGTAAAAATGCTTGTCTGATTGTGTCCTCTTTCAATTCGAAGCTGATACTGCCTACATACACCCTGTTTATATACGAATAATATATTAGTTTACAATTTATAAATAAAATAAAATGTAATACTATAATTTTATCATATCTAATTGTAATATATAATTAATATTAATTCTATTTTTTTTTTTTTATCTTTTGTTATTAAGCTTATTTTTAATATATCTCTTAATGAAGGTATTTATGAAACAAATTTTTCTTACTCTATCCATTAGACTAAAGAAATATTTTCTGATTCTTTAAAAGAACAAATTCATACAGCAAATTAAACATATAAAAAAAAAATTAATATTGTAATTTAAAAATAAATTATTTTAAGGATGCATTGATTATAATAAACTGTTACGTTGATATGCTGTATAAATTTGAACAGTTTTTTTAAATATTTGTAATGCTTTCTGGAAAATAATAAAATATAAAAAATATTAAATGATGATTATATTATTTTTTAAATCCAAGCAATAAAATTATTGTGTATACTAGTATAAAATCTATATACAATAAAAAAAAAATGTATAAACTCATTATGTTTATGTATAATAACTTGTATAGTTTGAAACTAATCGGCAGGAAATGAAATGTACATTTCCTAGCATGCTAACACAATGAACAGAATTGCTTTATGATTTAATATGTATAATAATAGTAAAATGAAATATGTGGTGTGTATGTATGGGCGAATATGTGTATATTGTTGTAAATGTACGCACGCATTTATATATAACAAATTCTAATCTTATACTGAATCATAATATTTATGAAATGATATAAGATCAAAGTGAGCAAATATAAAACTTAACTAATCATTGTTAATGTTATAAAAGCTTTTAATTAACGTTAAATATTAATAGTTTTCTTTTAACAAAACTATGAGTATTTATCTGAGCATAAGATGCAACAGTAACTGAAAATGTTGGATGTGATATCTTGAACTACGATGGCCAGGTTTGAGGACAAAATTTGGAGGGCTAAGGCAAAGAACAAACAAACCTGCACATGAGGGCGAGAGCCTGCTGTCTCTGCACCTGATTCCGTTGACTAGCCATTTGCTGCAACACAAAGGACCATAGGCCTTCTATTGATATCCCTCCCCCTTACATACACCATCTTTCAATCACATTTCAAATATCCCCCAAGCTCTTTTACCACTCTAACTTCTTTGCTCAACTACTACTCCTTTTGTATATGCATTGGGCATTTTATATATAATTGTATCATAATAAATGAATAAAGTTTATTAAAATTACAAATTACACACTAAAGAATTTGTGTGTTGTAGAAATACTATAGTGCAATTAAAAAAAAAAAAAAAAAAAAAAAAAAAAAAAAAAAAAAAAAAAAAACCCAGAAACATGAAAAATATATATCTTTAAAAGAAAAAATTAGAACAATTGATGTATGATGCTAAAAATATATAATTTCCCATCTCATAAAGATCACTTATTAATTGATATTACAATAAAAATGATTTAGTAATTTAAAATGAATAAATTAAATAGTCAAATTATATTTTATATAATAAATGAAATATATAAATGCTATAAAAGAAAAAATAGTTGAGCTCAGAAGGGTATATTTATTAACTTTCTGAAATCATCCACAGATTCATGCTCAAAAACATGTCCTCCTCGCGCTGGTACAGCTCTGCTCCCGCCGACTACTATTTCAAGATATCTAACCTTCTCATATGGTAGCAACTCAGGGAAACGTTTAGGAGTGTTTGATCGTTAGGCGGATTCGTATTATTTCTGTCTTGACTTGGTTGACACTAACCTGCACATTAGCAATAAAACTTGCTGCCGCAGGACCAACTTATTCTTCTGCGGGGAGAAAAAATCAACCGATCAGAGTGAGGTTCCAGTGTTCGTCTTTAATTTCTTATGATTCACTTTACTCGCATGTTTAACGAACACAGGTAAAATATAATAATAATAGCAGAAATTTATTATGACTCGGCGGGGCGAGCTAATTTTATAAGGACAAATATGAATTGCAAAACTAAATTATACATACTAAATAATCTTTGTTCTTTAATTTCGTAACATTGGCAAAGAGCTAAATAGAGGAAACAACATTATATATTTACATGTATTATTTTTGAACATTCAATAGTAAATAAAAATTCATAAAAGAGACCCAAAATTGTTTCTGACTCTATAAGTGTATATGTTAAATTTATTCCACTGTGCATTCTATATTTAATATTATGTCAAATATTCTTAAAAAATAATATATATGATAAAGTGCCATTATGCAAATTATTATAAAATATATTAACAACAAGATACTTAACTTCTACATCAATTTTTATAAAGGATTTTTGTAGATTTTTCTCTTATCTTTATTATAATACATTATACTTTCTTCAATATAAGAATGCACAATTGAATATAAAATACATGTTAGGCGAGTAAAGCTTATTAGTCTTATAGAAAAGAATTACCTGCTGTTGATGAGCTAATGTTTGTTTCATGAGAACCATCTTGATGCTTTGTTCCATAGCATATTTCTTCGCTCTATTCACTGTATCTTGCTGTTCAGATGTAATTTTCGGTAGTCCTGCACCTAAGATGCCAGGTAATGTAAGGTACTTTGCACCAGGACCTAAGCATAATATATTAAAAACTATATTACAAATTGTATTTTAATTGATTATAAATTAATTCAGATTACAAAATTATTTCAGATCTTATCAGCTATAAGTCCACTAATATTTTATCATTTCAATATAACTTTAGTTGAAATGATTGAAAATAAAATGTCACAAATTTTGTTCACATCATTCAAAGCAATTAAAATTTTATTTCATATCATGACTATATACATACCGGCTACAACTTGACCTATTTGATTAAGGTCATATATAGGGCCTGGCAAGAAGTCTGTTGCGTTCCCTACAAAAAAATTTGGTATTAGAAAAAAATTAAACTATCATGGATACTTATTGTCTTTACTTCCACCATCACATTGCACATTTATGAGACACCAATATACCGTTCATATTTTTGTGAAGGTAGAGGTATTATCTTAATAGTCAAATTTTAATTTTTATATTCTAACTTTGTGAAATAAATTTTTGTCAGTTTTATTTTTAATATTTCAATTTTTATATTATTATATTAACCATATTATTAAAAACTATTAGTTGATTTTGAAAATAATAATAGATAAATTTGTGGTAGCTCAAAAGTCTCAGATATCTTTATGTAAAATATTGTGAAGTTACTGTTTTATAACAATTGAACTAATTAAGACATTCAAAGTAGTCTTCTATTAAGTTCTGTTTAACATCACAATTAACTAAAGGAACCATAATAAGTAATAATATTGTACAGCAATTCCCGCCATAGGATCTTCCTCCAAACTGTAAGTTCAAAAGAATTAAAATAGTCAAAATATACGCAATACAACAACTGTTTAAAATAGTGTTTTTTTTTTTAATATGTGTGTATATATATGCATATATATACACAGATGCATTAAGAATGGAGAAACAGAATTCTCCTTCTTCGCCTAACTATCAGAAAAAATGAAAGTGCACTGTATAGTTTTTAAATCAGTCATGAAATCTTTTGCAGTAATTGTATAATAGTCTATAAAAATGTAAGTAAAAGTTATTTTAATGTAAACTTTTTAAAAATATTTCACAAGCCAAATTCAATTGAAGTTTGAATAATTTTAATTGCTAATTTAAATATCAGCCTCAAAACATCAAACCACTTATAATTACATTAGATACTTTCGTTTTATACGATCATAACCAATTTGGTCTGCTAGTCTCTGAAACAGAAATCAGAACACGTTGAAACGTTTTGTTAAGATTTCTCCGTTCTTTCTTTTTTTTTTTGCTTTTTTTCTTTTTTTTTTTTTTTATTTTCTTTTTTTTTTTTTTTAATTTGCAATTTCGTGAATTAAGATTGTTAACTTTGTTCAATTGTTTGATTTACAGCTAACCGTATTCTGGGCTGAGCAATGACGGTTGCGCGCAAATTATCCGAGATTGAGGCGATGCACATATCTGCAAGCACAAAGCAAAGGAGAACACTCTCAGTGCATTTTCTGCGCCATTTTCTTAGATTTTGCCTCGTCCAACCTATCTCGCAATTAATCCTAACCTTTTTGTATAGCAATGGCGATTGTAGATATGAATAACGGCTATAGCATTAAGTATGTTCTGTTTTCAGACAGATATGAAAAAACTAAATAAATATACGATCATTATTTTAGAAAGTTAAGAATATTTAAGACAATTATACATCCTATAAAAATTTTTATGAATTTAAATAATACTATTAGCACTTAGGCTTAGTATTATTAATATAGAATTATAAAAGTATATTGTGTGTGTGTAACTAAATGAAACATATATAATAATCTTATAGCCTGACTGAATATATCTTTCATTTAGACTGTTGAAGTCTTTTCCTAATTTTCTAATCACCCTGATCATGATATATATCTTCTCAACCTCATGAACTTACCTTTTAAATTTCCTGTTTTAATAAATTTATATCATTTAATAAACATCTTCAGAGAGACAAATATCGCCATTGCTCATCTTAATTACAAGTCTCTTAGATACGCATCAACCCTTTCTATTCGTAATATTTTAATAGTATTCATATAACAAAAATATAAAATTAAGATATTACTTTTATTACTCTATATGGTTCTATCGTTTTATGCATGTATTATTTTCTAATTCCACTTCATCTACATAAGATCTGACTTCTTTCTAATTCTTAGTGTCATAGATATAGAAACATTTAAAACAGTATGATTATATCTATAACACCAACATTATTAAGCATGATATTTATATATATTTGACTTCATGGAGATATATGAGACTCGTAATTAGGATCATAGAAAGGACTACCCTAATATGCTGACCTATCTAAAGTATGCATCATATGGTACTCGATTGATGCTGTGTGAGTGGGAGTTTGCAAAACTCTGATCTGTTCTGTTCAACGAATGTAGCGTTCTCTTTCTTTGTTTGGCGCACGCTCATGATCACAGCTCAGTCGTAGGCCACAGATTCTGTACTGTCTCTCCGCTGTAACATCTCAGAACAGAAGGACAACCATACATTAGTTTTATTCAGGGCCAACGATCATCTAGAACCCTAACCTATCAAAATTTATTCTGAAACTGCAATAGACCACTTGACTGCTACAATTTGCCAGCATTTAAGAGAAAGCTAGCACCTGATTGCCCTAAGTAAATGTGATCAAAGTATTTTCCTTCGTCATTCCCTTTTTGTTTAAAAATTACACCTCCTGTCGTTTGTGTATATACCACGTTTTCCACACATACATATATGTGTACGATTTCTTAGTGATTATGCAGATACAGCTATTTGGCTGCTTTAGCAATATACCTTCAACTCTAGACTTCTTGCTTGGTGGTTCCATATTATTTTGTGAAGTTGGTGCCTGGACAAACAAATAAAAATATAAGAATTAATCTTTTTTTAATATATATTTATCTTGTTTATCAATATGCAATACATTTTAATGCACAAATAAATTAATTCAAATAAATATATATATATATATATATCACAAAGATAATTATAATCTATTAGACTAACGTAAAAGCAAGGAGCATTATAAAGATGGAACAGATTAATATCGTGAAAAGATCACTAATACAAACATAAATCGTTAGGTATTTCAACGAATAAATTAAATATTTATACATAAATAATATACATATTTATATATGACAAAAAAAAAAAGAAATAAAAATTCTGATGTGATCAAATTATTCGTAAATCTTCTAAGATCGAGGATATGTGGGAAATCTAAACTCTTTTGTAACGGCCATAGTTGTTCGATACTTCACTTTTTCTTTCTATTACCAAAACATTATATTACATGTAACTAAATTTAATCGCATATTTACCATGGCCATTGTTCCGTTCATTATCCTTTTCAATCTAGAGAAATAAAATGTACTTTTGACTCCGCTACACTAAAAAATCGCACGCGATACTGATCAACTGGCTCACACCCGAAGCTCTGTTCTCTACGGAAGTTGCACAAGGAAGATACATGTAAGCTATCCTATTTTAAAGTTCAAACTATTAAATATCTTTTATTATAAGTAATTATGGTCATATAAATTTTATAATTTATAAATAATATTATAAATAATTATCTATGTTTATTATTATCGCTCATATATAATTCTTTTATGAAATCTTTTTCAAAGACAACTTGACTTACGTATCACTTTTCCAATGGAGAAGACATGCGTTTATGGGTTAGAACTTAAAACATAGAAAAATAAGAAATAATTGATAAGAAATTATACTATCATGGATACAGACGGTTTTCAAGTGAGAATAATCGATAATGAAAAGGTAAAAGACAATATTTTTCCATTATCTCGTAATTTTGTTTAATAATCAATTTTCATTTTCGTATATTTATATATATATATATACACATACACATATATATATATATATTGAAAATATATAATAAATAATTTATATGATGAAAATAAATTCAATACATTCCTGTTTATCAACAATTTGTAATATTTTCATGAAATAAAAAAGGGAAAAGGTCTTTTTGCCACACGTGCATATAAAAAAGGTAGTATAATATTTGAAGAAAAACCAATAGTGTGTTGTCAATTTCCTTGGAATGCAGAATATGGATATTTGGCATGCGACAATTGCTTGAAACCTTTAGAAAATGCAGAAGAAACTGCTCGTAGGTTAACTGCTAAACCAGATATAATTCTTCCGTATATGGAATGTTGTAAAACGGAAAAGAATTTGATTACAGAATGTTCTGCCTGTGGAACAAAATATTGTAGCAATGAATGTCAAAATGAAGCAATGGAAAGGTAATTACATTTTTACATTATTTATATATAATAATAATTATAATTTGGTATATAAAATAATTATCAATTATTTTTGATTTTTAATTAAATTGGTATAACATGTGCATAGTTTTTCAGATATCATAAAATATTATGTTTACAAACAAGGGATAAAAATGAAGATCATCCATTGGTACAATTAAATGAAATATGGAAACAAATGCATTATCCACCTGAAACAGCAACAATAATGTTATTAGCTAGAATGATTGCTATTGTTATACAAACTTCTAATCAAGAAGATATTTTGCAAACTTTTTCTCAATTTTGTCATCGTACTGTAAATGACACTGATGAAATAGCACACAATTTATTAGGTGAAAAGTTTATTGGACAAATTGATTTATTAAGACAGATGTTACAGAAGGCATTAAATAATGATTATACATCGAATGTGTGTAATAATTATTATTTGTATATAAATAATATTAAAATACTACTTCATTTTAAGTTTTATTTTTTTTTTGTGTACAGTGGTTTACGCCAGAAGGTTTTAGAAGTTTGTTAGCTTTAGTAGGTACTAATGGTCAAGGAATTGGAACAAATGCATTTGCTCAATGGGTGGGGAATGTTAATGTTTTAAAATTACCTAAAGATGAAAAAATACACATTAATAAATTCATTAATAGACTTTATGATGATATGAAAGAAGGTATGTAAAATAAAAATTATATTTCTCTTCTATTAAACTTAAGCATTATAAATTGTAATATAATATTATTTTTCCTCAGTGGTTGGTTCATTTCTGAATAATGAAGGTTCTGGCCTCTATGTCCTTCAATCTAAAATAAATCATAGCTGTTTATCAAATGCAGATGTTGAGTTCCCTTATTCAAATAATGTCTTAGTATTAAAAGCTACTCGTGATATTCAACCTGGAGAAGAGATTTGTATAAGTTATCTTGAAGATTGTGAACTTAGAAGTAGACATTCTAGACAAAAAGCTTTAAAATCTTACTACTTGTTTATTTGTTCTTGTGAAAAATGTCAATCAGAGGCTGGAGATCCTGATGAAACATCTGATGATAATGAATATATGTAATTATAATATATTAATATAATTGATATGAAAATATTATTTTCTAACACGTATATGGTGCTTTAAAATTATTTAAGTCATTAACATCTGCAAATAATCAACCCACTGTAACATATAAATAGTACATACCACTCATTTTTACATTTAAATCGACTTTAATATCAAATTAATAATGACGATGAATCATAGATTATATTAATAAAAGAATATTAATTTCTAAAATAATAAAAATGTATGAATGTATTCTTAAAATAAATTAAAAAATAAAGATAAAATTTCTAGTTATCTATAGCTTCATTTATTAGCACAAATTTATTTTAAATGTTCTACATTTCACTAAATTAATATCATACACTTGTCAAGATGTGCTACATTCACTAATAGAATACTTGATACAAGCAAAATTTTGTTGGCTAAATTCAGACGTTTTTAGAAAAGCAAAAGTTAAAAAACAAATAATGATATTTTATTCTTTTATATCATTATCTTTTGTATGTTCATTTGTAATTTTTATGATAAATATATAAATTGTGATAAAAATAAACTTTACTTGTATAAAATATTTTTTGGTATAATGTGAAAAAAGATTTAAATGTTATAATGATAAATAATTTATAAATGATTAAAACAATGATATTATGAATAATTTGCGTTGTCAGTATTAATTATAATTTTATACAATCTGTCAAACTGTCGAACTGTCTGAGATTTGTCATTCAGTATTAAGTTTAAATACTATTTTTTTTATATTTTTACAACTTATTAAAAATTATTTGTTATTTTGTTATATTATATTTATACAGCTTATAATATTTTATTTCTTTTGTATTTTTAAATTTTACAGCATTGTAATTGAAAATGATATATTATAAAGCAATATTATGAATATCATTTATTTTTTCTAAATATTACAAAATTGTTACTCTTCAAGAGTCAACTCATTCCTTCCCATTGACATAAGATTAGAAATATAAGGAGGTAAAGGAGCAAGAAGTATTCCTCTTTCAAATAAAGTTGTTAAAAACATAATTACATCTTCGCTACGAAACTCCCACCTTAAAAAAATATATTTTAATATTTTAATATTATTTAATTGTTAAATAGACATATTTTATATATAAGACAATCATTAATAAAATTTATATTTTTATATAGACTTACCCTACTTGAATAATATCATTTGTTAATCGTGATGCTATTTCTCTATCACTAATAGAACTATTTGGTCCCCTAACAACGAGTGTATCTAATGTTGGTGGATTTACACCAAAACAATTTTCTGTAAAATTTCTCCTTTGTCTTTCTTGTGTATAATCAATACCTGTATCTCTAAAATATAGGTAATAATAATATTAATTTAATATTAAAATTCTGAGAATACAATAGTATTTTTAAAATATAAATAAATATATTACCTGATCATAGGTTGAGCATCTTGGTACGTTGTTTTATTTATGATATCTGCTGCACTTAAAGCGCCTTGTATTCGTAGTCGAAGTAATCTCATTAAAGACATAAGATCTTTACCTCTTAAATCAATGCTTTTGTGTTTATTATAGCCCATACTATGAGTTATTGCATCTATAAAGATGTTTGGGGGATTTTTTTTGGCAGAAAATAAATACTTTTGGTCCAAGAATAAAGCAAAATAATTTGCTGGGACTTTTACATTATTTCTCTTTATATATTTTATACTTAAATACATGATACCATTAAAAACTATGGCATCGACTTCTATTTTTGTAGACAATAATTTTTGTCTATCAAGTTTTTCCTTTACACTTTGTTTAAAATCTCCAGTCCCAATGTGAAGAGGTTCATTATTAGAGCCTGATACACTGTAAGTATACCAATGCTTTCGTTTATGTCTACTTATGTCTAAAAAATAATCAAAAATAACAAAAAATTAAAATGATTCATAAGGAAATGAATAAGGAAAAAACAAAAAAAAACCATAAGATTTACCAATTAATTCTAATTTCATTAATCGTTGTCTTAATACTTTCTCTTGTATTTTAGTATCCTTTAAAAATAAATATTGAAAAAGTATAATGTTTAACAAAAAATATAATAATGTAGATATATTTATATATAACTAAATAAAAATGATTAAAAATATGTCAATAAAAATTACATTTATTATTTCTTCTAAAATAGCAGCAATATTTGCAGTTGTAAAATTTTCATGATGTTTTATCAATTGGGACCTCACATGATTCCACGTAGTTTCTGGAAAAACTGGTAATACAGCATTTTCTAATTCTTCAAATTTAAATCTACGGAGAACATTCACGATCCGTTGTTTTCTTGAATTTCCTGTAATTTAAATATTAACTTCTCATGTAAACCTCTTCAATGTTTATAGTAATATTTTAAAGTTTAATAAATTAAAATGAAAATGCAATAATTTATAATTACATTTATACTAACCTGTTGACATTATGTAACTAAATAGCAATACAAATGTTTATTAATAATAAAAAGATATAAAATTTATATTTTATTTCACAACATTGTCACTATCTTGACAATATTATATACAAACATACTCATCAACTACATAACATAAACTGGACAATTCCATGGACTATCATATATTGCATTTAACCACAAACATGTAAATACTAGAATATGTGTGTAAATTTAGAGGCCAAAAATGGAAGAATTAAATCACTATATTCTCTTTTGTGATTGGTCAATTAGTTTTCATGGAAATAGAAAAATAAAAATTATTAATAAAGAAAAAAAAAAGATAATAATATGTATATATTTCAGTTTTGAATGTAAAAATTACAAACGAATTATTTATTAAAAATTTTTAAGATAATATATGCATATGAGCTTGAATTAAAAATTTTCTTGTTATAGGAAGCACTGACCATTCTTATTTGGATTTATTGCTAGGGAAAAAAAACAATATTAGTTCACAATATTCACTATTTGAATAAGTCGTAATATTTTACTTAATGGAACCTTCTTCTTAAATTGTTTTGTACAAAATTTGTCTTGCTTTCATTATTTTTGCACACTACAATAAAATACGTAGGGATTAGTGACACGTTATATAGCGTTCGTAATATATAGTATTATTCTTGCTGGAAGAATTCCCTCTCGAAAGAATACATGACGTCACATTATTTCATTTCCTGCCTAAAAATGTTTAAAAATCAAAATATAAACAAAAAACTATTTATAAAATATTTTAAGAGAAATAATGAGGAAATATTTATTTTATAATTTTTTATGAATTTTAAGATTTAAATATTATTTATTTATATTTTACTACAAAATGTTTGAATGTATTCGTTATTGTTTAAATATTATTAGTTATAATCGGCGTACGTTTCAAATTGTTTAAATAATTCTAAAATTATCGAAATTCTAAAATTATCGAAGACAAAAAAAGACAGTTTCGATATTTATAAAAATCAATTTATCGTTTGTTTTGATCGATATTACATGTAACCAACAATTTTAAGTTAAAATTAAAATGAATTTAATATTTCATTTATAATTTCAACCTAGAATGAAAAAGCAATAAACTGGAATATGACGAGAAAAAAAAAAGATTTTATCCTCCCTTACTCGGACACTATTGATCTACATAAATTCCAAAAAGAAATATTACAATCTATATAATTTATTACGTGAGATATCTGTTTTCAAGATTAAGGATGATAAAAATATTCGCTTGTTACATTTTTACACGACGTTGCATAAGCGCGTACATATATATATATATATATATATATACATGTATATAAAATATAATCGAGGGAGAAACGACTTAACCTATTTTTTCTTTCTCTATTAATCTATATAAATTGATCCACTGATCTATATTATTTCTTGGAAAATTTTTTTTTTCAATGTGTTTTTCAGACGACAAAAAAAACTCAATCATTTTCTTTTACGTGCACATTCTTCTTGTACATGCACATAAATTTAGTGACGTACATTTATAAAAAATTGTATGTACTTCCTTTGTCTCTCAAGCACGAGTTTCTCCCATATCTATCTACGTGCATATAAACAAATTTTTGAAAGTTCCAATCTTTCAACTTCTGTAGATAATGATGTAGTTTCTTCTGTAAGAGAGCTGAATTTATTTTATCGATAACAGAGGGCGTTAGATATTTCTAATTATAGCGCTATCTAGGTATTTTTTCTTGCTTTAAACCAAATCGCCGCTCTTTTGTTTCCGGTTTCTGAAATTTCCTAAGAGAATTGAATTGTATGCTTTCTTTTGATTATTTCAGTTGTCTTTTACATAAGTTCATGAATTAATTTAAGATTTTATTTTATTACGTGTTTATTAAAAAAGAGAGTGTAAAGTGATAATATAATATTGTGATTACTTGAAAACCGACAAAATGGTAAGGAATATAGGTTAAGTAATAGTATTTCGTTTTGCAGCAGTATTGCCCGTTATAATTATTTTTATTTATATACTTTACTATTCTTATAAAATAGATGCTTTATTAACCAGGTTTTATTATTATACAAATGATATATGTGTGTGTATTTATATTTACGTATATATATATATACATTTATATATTGTATTTTTATATTTTATAGTGTATATTAATCCATTGTATTTTTCAGACTATCGGCAAAAATAATAAAATGCTTCAGCACATTAATTATAGGGTCAGAATCATTCTTCAGGATTCGAGAACCTTTATAGGGACATTTAAGGCATTCGATAAGCATATGAATCTTATACTTGGAGATTGCGAAGAATTTCGCAAAATTAAGCCAAAGAATACAAAACAACCAGAAACAGAACAAAAGCGTGTTTTAGGCTTTGTACTTTTAAGAGGAGAAAATATTGTTTCTTTAACTGTAGAAGGTCCTCCACCTCCGGAGGAAGGATTGCCTAGAGTACCTATTCCAGGTGCTGCACCAGGTCCTGGTATTGGACGACCTGCTGGTCGTGGCATGCCTGCAAGTATTGCAGGAGTACCGGCAGGCTTACAAGGACCTGTTAGGGGCATTGGTGGTCCATCACAACAAATAATGACACCTGGTGGTAGAGGTCAAGTATCAGCACCACCACAAATGCATCCAGGTGGTCCTCCACGTATGCCTGTAAGTGGACCACCGCCTGGTATGATGGGACCACCACCAGGAATGATGGGTAAGATAATAGTTTAATTTAATTTATTCATCTTATGTTTGTTTAGAGACTTTCAAGAGAATAGAACGTACTATATATTTTATTATAGGAATGCCACCTGGAATGCCACCCATGGGGAGAGGCGGCCCACCAATGGGACCACCAGGAATGCGTGGTCCACCACCCGGTATGATGCGTGGAGGTCCGCCTCCACGTCCATATTAATAATGATACTTTGTACATTATTAACTGTATTTTTTGTCATCACTAGTAATAATAAAACCATCTTTTGTAATATATGTATGTATATGTACGTGTATGCTATGTTTACTGTGGTATTTGTAATCTTGTACAAATGATATAGTTTACTTAATAATTTTCTTAATTATTCCTAATATTACAGAATTAGTTAGTAAATTATTTTCAGATATAATATAAGGTACATATTCAAAGAATCTAACTTTTTCAGCATATTGATGTTATGATAATTGAGGATGGACATTCCAGAGTGCTACAATGTTTCAGGAAGGTAAAAAGATGTTTCAGGATGTATATCATCATCTTTTGTTACATTTTCTTATTTATAGTTTGCTTTATTTTTACGAAGTATTTTAATTTTTTTGTTATATATCATTTTTTTCAAATTTCATATTTACACTTTACACTATTTTTACAGCACTGCTGCTATAATTTTATGCATGGCATATGGCAGGTTCTTACAACCAAAATTTTATATAAGATGTACTATTAAGATCACACACACAAGAATGGTACTTCATCTGATACAATTATGTGAATATGAAATATATGATTACTTTTAAAAACCTGTGTATGTTCATGTGTGTTTTTAGATCATTTTGTATCCATTACAATTATATAAAATAATCACAACCAATTTGTTTTTATAATAATAATAATGATATAATAATAATAATAATAATAATAATAATAATAATAATAATTACACTAAGAAACTGATGTATATTAATGAACATTGAATATACTATATTATAAGATATAAATATTTTGATCCGTGCACTTGAGTGTCACTCTTTTGTATAAAAAAAAAGCTACTGCAATTCACAATAGTTTTGCATAATTACAATAATTTTGTTTACAATTATTTGCGCTTATTTCTTTTTGCTATAAAAAATCAGTCCAATTTTTTACTTGATCTTATTTTATAATTAGTTTGTTTTATGATTAATAATTTATTTGAATATTTAAAAAACAATGTGTGTATATATAAATATATATATATATATATATATATATATATATACATATATATATATATATAGACACACACACACATATGTTCTAACAATTACTGGACTGAAAGTACGATATATATACATTACATTTTTTTAAGTATTAAAATATTTTACGAATTGAACATATATATATTCTTATATAAAATGTATGTTTTTGAAACTATAAATCATCATGAGCCTTTTTTTTATTATAGCATTGAAAAAATGTATTTTTTAGATTTTAATCTACTACTACGAATCACTCGGGTTTGTTTCATAAGTAACAGATATTGAATTATTTTTATCTTCTGGGATATGATCACCATTTTCAACCAGGCACTCAAAATTTTCTAAATTAATGTCAGTCGATTGGAATCCATTTTCAAATATATTGGTGTTGATTTCCATACCGCACATCGAATCTTCTCTCTGTAGATTATTTGAAGAATTATCTGAACACAAGATAACATGTATTTTTTTGAATCTAGTATAAATATTCTCCAAAAATATATAAAAATTTATTATAAAGTATAATTATAAATACAAGCAACTTATATAAAATAATTAAAGGTATATTACAATATGAATAAAAGAACAATTTTTTACAATAGCATATCAATGATTCTGAAATTTTGTTAAGGAAATAATAACGTAATGAATCATAATAAAAAAATTCATTCAATATTACAGCATACCTTGCATATCTGCAAATTGCTTATGATTTATACGGTCTTCTTCGTTACTTTTAAGTTTTGTAAGATCCATAGTATTTTCTACTTGGGAATGAATTTTTTTGCAGACTTCTATAGATTTTCTATCACAAAAAAAAAAAGAAATAAAAAAAAATAAAAAAAAAAAATAAAAAAAAAATTTGATCAACAAAAAATTATATAATGTATTCTGTATTTTTCTCAATTAATTACGATTTTATTCTTACCTACATACTGTTTCTTCTAATGTAGTAATCGAACTGTTAGGTTTCAAAGAAGATCCAGTATCTTTTAAATGCACTTCATTGCTATCTCCTTCCTGTAATAAGCGACTACTTATACTCTATATTGCAATTTTATTGAATAAATTCAGTATAGTGGAGAAATACTGGATTATTTATAACAACTATTATTATTTAATAAAAGGGAGAGGTGCTACGGTGCTGTATATACATAGTTTACTTTTGTTCCTGCAAAGGGCATATGAACAATGTCTTACGACAAGTTTTATGTAAATAGAATTTATATGGAAAAAGAAAACTATATTTTTAATGCAAAACATAAGAATAAATATCAAAATAATTTACCTTTATATTTGTTTTTATAGTATCTACATGCGTAGCTGTTAACATTGTTGACGCTTGACTGCCATTATCTAAATTAATAGAATTTGGCAAAATGTTAATAGTATTTGGATTCTGTTGGTTAGCAACGGATATTTTCTTTCCTCCCATTATTACTTTGCCTAATACTTCCTAGAAAATAATAAATTGTTAATTTTGTTATATAATTATTATAAAAGATATTAAAGATTTTATCAATAAGATAAAATACCTTGCCTGCATGAGACAACATTATGCCTTTGTTACTTCCTTTTTGTATTACTATTACATTAGTCTTAGTTGTTAATTTTGTATTAGGATGATTAGTTATATTTACAGTTTTATCAGAATTTAGTGTCACACACTGTAAAATAAGTATAAACATATATAGTATACATATATCAAATATATTTCGATATTCGCAATTATTTCGATAGATACCATTTTAGCAGTAGATTGATTGATTATCGCAACTGGCAGTTTTTTACATGCTAAAGTTGTTACAACAGATTTAACACTAGGTGGCCCAGGACCGCTTGATACCATAGTTCCAGGAGCTGCAAATCGTGGATAAGCTATAAAAAATTATATTGCTTAAAACAAAAAATAGCAAAATATACATATAATATTTTTAAATGTTGCAAATACATACTTGATATAGCAGATTTAATAGATGAAACAGTTTTTACATTAGATTGGACTGTCGAAGGTACATTTTTTACATAAGAACTGGAATTTATTACTTCAGGTTTTGAAGTTAGAGCTATAATATAAATATAAAATCATCATAAATATCATAAAAAAAAAAAATATATATATATATACATATAAATAATTATCAAAAAACGACATATCACCTAATTGTACATCTTGATTTTTTAATTGTGTATCATTATTTCTGTGTGGTAAACTATCTAATGTTTCAGTATTCATCGATAATTTTGTATTATGCTTATTTTGTACTGTTGTTTTATCTTTGTTCTTGGTGGAATTAGTTGCACATGTTGTAACTTTGGTACTACAGTTCATAGTTGAATGAACTGATACCAAAGTATTTGTACTCTCTGACAGTACATCCTTAGAAGGTGCTATCATAATAAAAGATAAATAAATATTAAATAAAATATATGAAGGAAGATTATTTAATAAAGAAAAGAATTATTTTTATACCTATTCGACTAGATCCTGCACATGTCATAGATAAGGGGATAACAGTAACACCTTGATGTGATGTAATAGTTGTTTCACTTTGCTCCATATTAGTTTCAATCGATGTTTCATTCTCATTAGCATGGTTCAATGTCTCCAATGAATTAGAAGATAACACCAAGACCTAGGTAATTACATATGATATTTTATATCTATGTCAATGAATTAAGTTTAAATATGTAAATAATTGCAGATTGCTTGTAAAAAATTTAGATCAAAATTTATAAAATAAAAAACCTTATGTGGCGGTGAGAACGAGGAAAGATCTTGCTTGGTAGTGTTTACTTGCTGAATATCTTGGTATTTGATTTTTATAGGCCTTCTTTCTTGATCCATGTCAATATTTAGTACCTAGAAATAATATGATTTTCATTTTGTTATTGTCATTATAAATATAAGAAATATTTATAAAATATAATTATAAATCTAATAAATACCTTATTTGCTTCGTGTATTGACCTTTTTCTGCGGTTGATGGTTGCTTGAGCATTACATGATCCTGCTTCAATTGTTGATTTTTTTTCGATTTTGAAACATTTCTTGGATTCATCTAGTATATCTAATTTAAGATGAACATTTAGAGGTTAATAAGGTATTGAAAAAAATATACTCAAAAGTCACTCCAAATAATATTACACAGAAAAACTAACAACTGACCAGTTTTTTATGGTTGTATGCAATTACGACTTCTTTACAATTTTCATAACAAAAAGAAGTAGCATTATATTAAACAAAGGAAGGTCAACTTAATGGCTTCACCAAAATAAAATGGATAGAACAAAAATGTATCCATAACTACATCACCACCCCAAGATCATATAATCTTGAGATAAAAGATTTTCTATAAACTGTTAAACAAAAAAATTATTTGAGGTAGCAATTCTAAGTGGAGTAGGCTTCATATTAAATCTTTCATTAAAGATCTTTCATCAGTCCATTCAAAATAATAAATCACCTTTTTCTTTCTCCTTGTTTTCTTCGATCGGACAATTGTCATTAGCACGCGAAGTTGCAAGCGATAGACTGTTTGCTAACATTGTAAAAGCATTTCTTGCTTTCAATCTAGGTAAAAGTGGAGTTGAACGACGGCCTTCCATGATCCAGTCTATAGCAGTATTTGGTCCATTTAACCTGTTTTATATTAAATATATTATATATATTATATTACTAATATATGTATATATATACATATATATTAATATATATATGTATGTATGTGTATATATATATATATTATACACACACATACTACAAATTAGAATAAATAGATACATACTGCTCAGCTATCATCGTGAGTTTTTCATCATTAACAGCTCTACGTACTTCTGCACGATGCCTTTCATTAGAAATATGAAGAATTTTAGTAAGTTCTTGCAGCAATCTTTGTTTGTTACTAGTTAAAGGTCCTTGAGCACGCAAGACTGATACCATATTCCCATAAGCATCTAATTCTATATAATGAAAAATTTCATGGAATCATTATGTTCTTTTACTATTTAATACATTATAAATGCTAGAAATAATTCTATAATTCTTATCATTGAAATATATGAAATTCAATGCCATAATAATATTACTGATGTTAAATTAATGATGTGTAATTAATATGTAAGGTCAGATATAACATATAGTACATGTAGTAGAATACATGTATTATAGAGAAAAATTCTTCAAAAATAAAATTAAATTAAATTCTATCACATTAAATTCTATCATATTAACTTTATTAAGCCATTTAATGTTGAAGGTAAAGCAAAAAAAGAATGAGTTGAGGAAAAAATAAGGTAATAATGCATATTCATTGAAGGAAAAATTATGCAAAGATAAAATACACACAACGAGCTCTAATAATTATATTACTTATTAAAGAAATAGTTATTTTTATTGTAATCTTACCTAGATAGCGTAAACATTTTCTACACTCATCCCGTGTCATTTCACGTCGTACCGATCGCAAAACTCTGTTATCCATATTGCTGTAGTTTATATTACACTTTTTAAACAATTCAAATACATTTTCTACATTTTGTACTTCGCTGACAGAATCATTGAAGCTTTCACGTATTATTATTATCATTACACATAGAGATTTAGAATTTACGATACTAGGGATATATCATTTGAGTTTTCTTGAAGATTGGCAGTAAACCAATGTCACGACAATTTTTTAAGAAATATTCTTTCCTTATTTAAATATTATTAAGCGCGTTATCAAGCATAAAAATTAATTTATTGTAAACAATTTTAGAATTATATGCGAACATTATAGTACCATTAATTAATGTAAAAAAATAAGGTCAACAAATTTAGATACAAAGTTGGCGGCATTAAATTAGTTCAATATCTGACCTAAGAATTTACAGATGGCGCCATCATTGCTTTACGTTAAAATTTTACCCAGCATCACTTATAAATGCGTTTACAACGTCAATTTTTCGATAATATAATTTGAATAAATAAAAAAGAAATAATTACTTCATTTTATTTAATCAAACCTAAAAATGATTTCATAAAAATATATATATATATACATACAATTTTTAAACCAATTACAGAAAATATTTATTGAAATTATCATTATCGAAATTTAAAAAAAAAAGAGAATAAAAAATAACGTAGAGAACAAGGAATCGTGAAAATCGAAAACCATTCATTCAATTAAAAAGGCGGGAATTTTAAATATTATATATGAAAAATATTACAAAATGATTTATAAAATACAGAAGGTACAATAATTTAATTAAATAACATTAATAAATAACTATATATATACATATATATATATATGATTGTATATATGTATATATACATATATATATATGTAGATTCGTAGAAGTTGAAATTAAATAAAAATATTTTTGTTTTAAATTAAATGGAAGAACAATATACATGAATATATAATATACAAAATTTGTGTCTATAAATTTTCTAACAAAAAATAATATATACATATATTCTTCCACATTCATAATATATAATATTAAGATTCCACTCTATGTTTTGTAGTCTATGGGGGTCTGTTGAACGATCGAATGTAGTGTGTCAGTTGTAGCGACGACTCCGCACGAAGTTTGTGTAGTTTAAAGGCACATATATATTATAACATAGGCGCACTCTTTCGTAATAAGCAAAAGTAGAATTACAAAAAAGAAAAAAAAAAAAAAAAAGAAATAAATAAAAAAAGGCAAAATAAAAAATAAATAAATAAATAAAAAATTTTATTACATATTCCACATATATATATATATTACATATATATATATACATTATATATATACATTATATATATACATATATATATATATATATATATATATATATATACATATAACGCAGTCTTCGATAATGCCACGTTCATTTGTCCATTGGAAAAATGTCGTATTCTTATATATTGTACAATTATTCTCACGTAAGTTATCATTCCAATGAACTACATTTGTTTAATACATTTTAAGAAGCTCATTTTTTTTTATCATTTTTAACATTAAATATTATTAAATATCTTCATTATAAAGGATTTTTTGCATATATATAATATTTAATATAGAATATATTATATATAATATATATTATATATGTGTATATTTAATATATATATATATGTGTGTGTATATTATATATATATAAGTACATGCAAGGGATCTAATCATATTACATGAAGAAAAAAAAAATGAAAGAAATCAATTGAACACAAATATAATAAATAAGAGTATTCACAATAAAATTAAAAGAATGACACTATCATTATATTTATATTTATAATTTATCGAACTAATCTCTAAAAAAAAATTGCATGCTAATTGTTTGTGTTTTAAGATATCCGTTCATTAAATTTATTAAAAATTGATGTAATTCTGAAAAAAAAAGAAGAAAAAAAGGAAAAAAAAAATTGTTTCATGGATCGATGTAACCATGTCAATTATAAAAAATATTTCATTTTTGTTGGTAGTTAATATTTCTATCAATATAACACGGATAGAAATATTTATATGTTTACTGTTTCCACAGAGCATCTCAAATCTCTTTAATAATATCCAATATACGGTACGTAACACGCGCTTCCTGTGATCGATACGGTAACACCTCCCAGCAACAGGACATCACCGCAAGCCGTTATAAACGACCTAGACATTATTTTACGAAATGATTTTCTCTAATTTTCAAATCTATTCTACAATTAGGATTATCGTTTTACACTGACACTTATTTGAATTTTAAAAGAAAAAAAAAAAGGAAAAAAGAAAAAAGAAAAAAAAATTTGTAAACATATAATAATAATAGTAATTATAATAATAATATTAATAATAATAATAATACTAATAATACTAATAATAATAATAATAATAATAATAATAATAATAATAATAATAATAATACTAATAATAATAATAATAATAATAATAATAATAATAATAATAATAATAATAATAATAATTTAATTAAAAAAATTCATCCTAATTATGTCGAAACAACAAATCTATATGGTATATGCGTATCTATGAATTGAGATAATGATTAGGATAAAGGATAAACAAATAAATTATTATTGATAATAATAAATGTTTTCTTTTAGATGCAAGCTGTACGGTGGATGTGCAGCTAATTGCACCGCGATACGTTAAGTCTGGCAGTACGGCAACACTCTATTGTAATCATAGTATTCCAGAAGATCAATTATATAAGATAGAATTCTTGAAGGATGATGAAAAAATATTTCAATATATAAAAGAAAGAAATCCACCGTTCGTTATACCGGGGATCGACGGTGTATTTATGGAGGTGAGAGATAAGGGAAAAAAAAAAAAAAAAAAAAAAAGAAAGAAAAAAAAGAAAATTTAATTTTCTCTTGTTCATTCATAATTCTCGAATTAAATACGATATTTCCTTTAGTACTCGGAAAATGGCACGACAATCAAACTAAGGAACGTTAGTTTTTTGGTGTCCGGTACATATTATTGTGCAGCTTCTATGTCGACTCCTATTTATACAAAACCTTCCGATAATGTACAAATGAAAGTAATAGGTTAGTATAGTTTTCGTTTATCATATCATACATTTTTTTTGTTTAAGTATAAATAATAATAGAAAAAAAATTAACCTCTTATATGTAATAGTATACAGTATCGACGATACATTTATATATAATATATTTGTATATAATATATCAGTATATTTTCACAAAATATTAATAATATTTTATACCATTATGAAATATTAATAACATATTTATAATAGCTTAAACATACTAATATATATTATAGTATTAATAATATATTTTGTTAATAGTACCACAGACTGAGAATCCGAAGATTACATTTGGAAAGAACGTTTATATGGTCGGTGACAATTTAGAAGCAAACTGTTCGTCCTCAGCGGCGTCACCTGTTCCTCATTTAACTTGGTTTATAAATGGAAAAGAGGTATCAGCACACAAAACATGCATACACGTAAACACATGTATGTAGGTAAGCGTGGGTGCCCATGCATATTACATAAGCATAAGTACATATAATATATATATATATATATATATATATATATATATATATATATATATATGTATGTATATATATATACGGAAACATATCACATATATATATATGATATAAATAAAGCAATAGTGTTTTCTCTTCTTATGCATGATTTGAAATATATACTTGAGAAAATTCATTGATGTAACAAACTACACATGCTATAGAGATTAAACACGATATTTTTCAACCTATCTATACATTTTATAATGTTATCTTCTATCGCTATTGGTAGAATTCAGGAATGTAAATCATCACAATTTATTTAAGACTCATAGTTCGCTCTAATCAAACTCGTATTTTTTCCTGCCTTAATTCTATCAATTTTTTTCTCACATAATACCGATATGTACACATTCAAATTATGTCAATGTGCAGATATTTTTTAAACCACAATGTCAGTGTTTATGGAAACTTAGTCATTGATATGCACATGGACAATTTTTATTGCTATTATTATTATTATTATTATTATTATTATTATTATTATTATTTTTATTATTATTATTATTATTATTATTATTCACGAGCGTTATATGTGTTAATCAGTGATATGCACGCGTACGTACGCGAATTAATATACACATTGAGATATTCATTTGATGTGTGTCTTTGCATGTATTTATTATATCTGTAAATGGGTGTTTTGTGTAGTTATAGTTATTGGAAAACGATCCCACTAGTGCAGTATTTTTCGATCGATATGGGTCATGTGCGGTTCTTGAGGTTTCATGGATCACAACTGGCTAAATGGAAGATGGGAGATGTCAATGTACACTGCAAACTTTTCATCGACCCTCGATTGACCTGTACTTTACAAGAGTATACCTTCTACTTTGAGGAGGATCGACATGGAAATCGTGAAAACACTGCACTAGTGAACTCTCCATTTTATGCTGATAGCACTGCAGGTATAAGCAGTTCCACTTGAGATTTACTTTATTGAAGAGGTGTTACATCCTGCAGACCATCCACGCTGTCTACGCCTAAGATTGGGTCTGAGTATGAAACAACTGGTATTAAAATTTTATGGCATGTAGTGAAAAATATTGTATTACAATTTTATAATACGTAGTGGAAAAATTTCTTTTTTCATTAATCTCTACTATATGTAGAATCATATTTAAATATTATCCTCCAAAATTTATTTTTTACATTGTGATTTCTTTCACGATTTCAGATTGACATAGTAATATCTTTTTCAAAAAAAAAAAAAAAAAAAAAAAAAAAAAAAAAAAAAAAAAAAAAAAAAAAAAAAAAAAAAAAAAAAAAAAAAAAAAAAAAAAAAAAAAAAAGTTTAATTCAATTAGAAGATATTTCAATTCTTATCAAGTATAATTAAATAATATGTTATAAGGATCAAACAATAGATTTTGCATTGTCTACTTACTATAACACTTTACATATTACATTGTGATGGAATTTATTAAATGTTGACATATTGCATAATGCAATAAAGTTTATGCACCAGTATCATTTCACAATACCACGCATATCAAAAGGGTATGTCGATAATATTGCACTCTAATTAAATTACACAACATTTTTGACTTGTATCGTAGGAAAGAAATGAAAAATAAGAAAATTATTTATTTCTTTTTAGTTATCATTTATAAACATCACAGTCATAAGGAGGCATTCAACATGAATTAAAATATTGAATCAAATTTTTCTTCTCATACATTTCATCTAATACATCGAATATATATATATACCAAAATGGGAGAGTGTTTATAAAATAATTTCAAAGATTAAAGATGACAAAATGAGTGATCTATAAATACATGAATTTTTCTTAGGATATATAAACTACAAAACATGACTGAAATATTTATTTGTAATGTAATTCAATTTCATACACTCATTTGTATGTTAGCTTCGGAGACAATTTAAATACACTTATTTTCTGTGTTATATCACAGTCAGATTAACTGCACTTAGAAATACACTGTATGTGTTTTCTAGTTTTTAGATCTTGGGCGTAGTAAGTATTTTGCTTGCATTTGCAATTTGTTTAAGAATCCAGTGCATTCAGAATACAACGTTTTTACATCTAATATCACTTATGAATTAGAAATCAGATCACGCTTCGTTTAATCACGCTTTACACGTTCTTGTATAATATCATAGCATTGGCCATTGTGGATAAAGAGACCCTTGGAATATTTTGACCAGACACCTGTGTGTGCACTTCAAGACTGCACATATGCGAATCTTTTTCTTGGACTTATTTACATCACCTGTAGTGCAACTGTAGGAGTCAAATAGTTTTAAAGCACAATGTCTTGGGTTCCTTCATATTTTCCTTTTCTTCTAACACGGTCTGTCTAATGCAATAAGCACTACTATTAATGCACTTTATACACATTACAACAAGCATGTTGTTTTAAAAGGTACGGCACATTACTCAAAAAAACTTGTCAATATTTTTTTTTTTCCTAAAAGTAATAATCTTTGGTTTTTATCAACTAACAATGTATTTTGCATTAGGTGGATGTCACATTGGTACATCACTATCCTCATACTCCCCATAGTAAACATCTATTATCTGCAACTGCTAAATTAATGATAGAGGTATCTGCATTACATACTGGAGATAATGGACATTTGGATATCAGTTGTCATTCTACAATACCAGATTATCCTATGAATCATGAGGAGTATGCTGATGTTAGAAAGAAGACAGTATCAAGTAATTATTTACTACATATAGATAATTTTATTTTATTTCCATTGTATTTTTGTATTTCACTTTTATTTGATATGATACAAATTCTATATCTCTTATGTTCATTAATTCTTCATTATTTGTTACAGTTGAGATTAGACCTACATCTTTTGCAGTGAGGAGCATGCACGAATTAGCATTGGTGACAATATCGTGCATAATTTGTGCAAAGCGCACATTAATTTCTTAATACAAGTCAATTTATATTTAATAAAACTGTAAAAATAATATGCGTAAGTAAAACAAAAAAAAAAAAAAAAAAAAAAAAAAAGAAAAAAGAAAAAAAAAAGAATATACGAACGAACAATCACGTTGTCTTCCTTGATTATACAGAAATGCAGGGTGCAATGATCGTATTATGTTGCGAAGCTATCATTCATAGACACGGTTTTCTCGTGCAGCTATTTTTTACTAATGCTTGAAATTTTATGAACTTCATAAGTGATTTGTCTCTATATAAACGTGTTTTTAGATTAGAAATATTAACTACTTTGTGTGTATAAGGCTAAACATACAATTGATGTTTCTACAGTCAATATTAAGGAGAACAGTACAGTGATCCACGCAAATAAAGATCCCGCAGAAAGCTAAACATTTGGAAAGATCAAAAAAGTAAAAAGAAAAAAAAAAATAATAAAGATAAATAAAAAAAAAAAGGAAATATAATAGTAAATGTACTTCATTAAAGTAGAATGTATATAATGTTTATTAATGGAATGTTTTATTATCATTTATTTCCAAGGATGTGTTTATTTAGGAAATAATTCGAATATGTATACAAGAATTTATTAAGGATATAACAATTCTTAAGATTTGTGTTTCTTGCAGTAAAAGTATGGTGTTGTGTAAATGTTTTATTTAATAAACTATATATTATATTTGGATGAAAAGGATAAGTATCAAGAAAAATGTGCAAACATTTAAGAAATGACATCGTTTGATGTAATGAAATGGTGTTATATAAATTATTGAAAAATTCTATCAAGTAATTTAATACCTTATATTTTCCATTATCATAAAAAAGAAATCTCATAGATTATCCTGGTTTAGAACTTTAAAACTATTACAAATTAATCTAGATCGTTAATATGATATACATTTCCCCTTTTAGTAAATATTGAATAAAAATAATTTAAATCGTACTAATTTCAATTATGGAAAAAAACAGAAATAAATAATAAAAAGAAAGTTATTTAAATTATTTACTTTTTAAGTGAAGATAAATTTAAATGTCAATTTTCATCGATACATAAGGGAAATATTTGAATATTCCCGCTTACGTCAGTAGTGATACGAATATTTCCGAAGGTTTCCGATCGAAAACGAAACTATTTTTTTCTGCTACATTTAATGTAGAGCGCAGAATAGAGGCGGATCTGTAACAGGCAGCTTCTGTATATATATATATATATTGTGAGTGAGTATTCATATTGTTTAGAGATTGAAAAGTTTCTTTTGATAAATTTTTGCCTTTTTTTCGCTATTTTATACAATTTTGTTAAACGAAAATAGTAATAATCTAATTTAATGTATTATTTCATGTATAAAGTTAGTTGCACTAACGTTCTTTGTTATTTCGTTCTGACTCATATTGAGATATAAATGTAAATGTTTATTTTATCTTTAAGATTATTTTTTATATGTATATATATATACATATATCTATATATGCATATAAATTGACTTTGAGCGTTTAAACAATTTTACTTATATATTATTGATCTCGTTTTATAGTTCGTGAATCTTGTTGGATATAGACACACCTGTTGGATGTTCTGACACCTGTTCACAATCTTTTAAATTCTTAGGTAAGCATATAATTTCATGATATCCTTTTTTCCCCCGAAACATATGTGTTACATGTGATTTTAATTATGTATGTTAATTTATTTTAAAGTAAAATTAAATTATGCATATGTGTATATGTATGTGTGTATATTCGTTTATATGTTGCTATATTTATTTTATATGTAGTGATGTATTATCGAATTGACAATATTTCTTTTGGAAATATTTTTATTTAGATATTTATTTGTGGTACATGGATGATATGACAAATAAATGATTACATAGTAACAAAGGACATTTATAATTGTCATGCATGCTTCATACAGTCTTTTAACAGGTTAGTATTCTGTTGAAACTGCTTTTTGAAAAATGTTATTAATCATAAGAAAGTTATTTATCATAGATCATTACATCTATGTTATATTATTATCAAAGAATCAATAATTCTTATCGATTAAATGTAAACATATATATATATATATACGTTTTTTTGTTTTTCAGATATGGAGCAAACAGAACAACCTCGATCACCCGTGAATAAACCTGAAGAAGGTTTTACATTTCTACTTACAATTTTAGAATTGACAGGAATCGCTTTTATTATTTTAATGATAGTATGGATTACACAATTTAGAGGTGGATTTTCTTGGACATCTAATCCAAATCTTGAATTTAATTGGCATCCTTTATTAATGACTATTGGATTTGTATTTCTCTATGGCAATGGTATAAAAGTTGATTATATGAAAAACATATAAGTATACAACGATAGTACTCAAAAAATTATTCTTTTTTTAATTTTAGCTATGCTTATATATAGAACGCAGAGAAACGTTCGAAAGAGGCGACTAAAATTAATACACACTGGATTAATGTCGATTACTATTTTATTGACAATTATTGCATTGGTCGCTGTTTTTGACAGTCATAATTTAAAAAATCCGCCTACACCAAATATGTATACTTTACATAGCTGGATAGGATTATCATGTGTGATATTATTTTGCTTCCAAGTAAATGAACTTTTTATAAAAGTTATTTAGATTTATATATTTTAAATGATATGAATTTTTAAGATACATGTATATATTTATTTTTACGTACATACATTCGTATTCATTTTTAACGTACACTTTTCATACATGTTCATTTTTTCAACAGCTACTTGCAGGATGTATTACTTTTCTTTATCCCGGCTTACATGAATCGTTAAGGGCAACTTATATGCCAATACACGTTTACTTTGGTGTAGCAACTTTTATTGGAAGTATCGCAACTTGTTTAATTGGACTTAACGAAAAAGCAATCTTCTCTATAACGTTAGTTCATACTGATAATAATTAAATAAGTGTTTTAATATAATCAGAAAATGATATTACTTTTATATTTCAGTGATTATAAAGATTTTGCTTCTGAGGGAATCTTGGTAAACACTATTGGAATATTTTTAATTATTTTTGGAGCACTAGCGGTATATTTAGTATCGCAGGAACAATATAAGCGTCAACCTAGACCAGAGGATAATGTTCTGCTAACTAATAGGAACTAATTGACGAATGATGAAATATTGGCTTGAAAAATGATATTCTTGTCTATGTGCTTGCGCTTTTAGAAGCTATTGATAAGTTTTCATTGGTCTCAGATTTTTAATATATTTCTTTTTTGTCTAAAGTATTATCAATTTTATATTTAATATCTGTTCAAATTGTTATATTTTAATTATATATTTTTATTGTTGATTATTTTTAATCTTAAGAGTGATTCTTCTTGTAATTGAAATGGTGCTATTTTTAAATTAGTTTCATTTAGGAAGAAACGCTAAACAATAACAATATATATATATATACATAAATTTATTAAACATTGTATAATATATAATAATATAAGATATACAATGTTTCATAATCATGTTTATTTTAAATTAAGATTCATTGATATATATATTGTTAACTTATAAAATTTACGACTTTGAATATTATACATACACATATATGTGTATATATTTATATACAAGTCTCTTTCTTTTTATAATTTGTAATTACTTTTATATATATATACATATATATTTTAATGATGAAAAATAAAAATGTTACTCTGCCATTGCAGCAAGATAAATATTCGACTTATAATTGAATTTTTTACATATTTAAATTTATAAAAAGATGCACATACAAGTAAATAGAAGAGATTCGTTTATTATCTTTCATTTTCAGATAGGCTCGTTTGTTCGTTAAGGCCGTTCATCATCCCACCTTTTATAATGATTTACGTAAACAATAAGAATAGGCATAATCGTTAACCGATTTTGTTTAACAATGTAATATTTTAAAGACGAAGATTTAATCTACGATTATGCTTTTTCGAATTTATAAAAAACTTTTTATTTTTTGAAAAAAGTCGTGTTAAACAATGGTATTGTATTGAGCATAGTTTATAATCAAATAAAGTTTTTTTTTTCAAAAATTCAAGAAAGCGGGATCCTAGATTAAACTTTCGTCATTAAAATGAGATCATGTCCATTAAAATTGATCATGAATTACTCCTGTTATCATTGTAGATGTAAATGCTGTTTTCGATATTTTTTGCGAAGAAAAAGTTTTGTACTGTGAAGAGCCATGGAAATTCCGACAAACGAGAAGTAGCTCGTACTTTTACTATTGATTGGCATATCACGTTGAATGGGATATGTTTGTTTCATGAAGCAACGATTACCTATTTGTCTGTGTATATAAATAGCTAATACTTAGATTTTCTGAATCATTCGAAATGCAAAGAAACGCGTTTCACGATACTCTCACGGAGAAGTTTACTAGGTCACTCTTTGAACAGATAATTCTATGGTAAAAATAAATAAATTTATGTCCGAAGTCATAAAGATTTTAATGCGCGAGAAATTTAAAATAATTTTTATTTAAAATTTTAATACTTAAAGATTCTAATTTCGGTGTTAATTGACCTTGCGCAATATAAACATATTCGATCTTTTTATTGACTTAACAATAATCGAGTTAGTACTTTTTTATATTTCAAGGAGTACACATCGACGTTTTCTTTTTCATTTACACTTTACACTTTACATCGTCAGTAATGCTTCTTACAAGATAATTTCTTTAAATTCGCGAATTTAACAATTATTATCCTAATTTCCGAATATGATCTGAAATGGTTTGTTGAGTTAAATCTAGCAATCTCCGATGTTATCAGATTTTTGATCTTACATGATCTTGATAGTATCGTTATCGATCAAAGATAATCGCCCAGAGCGTGGCTTATCAGAAAGCTCAAAATAACCTATTTCAAAATTTTCGAACCATTTTCTGCATGTTCACATCAGAAATCTGTACTTTCATTAAATGTACTTTCAATAAATTTCTATAGCATTTTTATAGCATTTCTTCCTTGTTGGAACTCGTACAAAATACAATGACGTGAATAAATTTTATCAATAGCCATGAGTACACGATCACTAACATAAATCAACTTTGTTCATTCGTTAGGTCAGTATGTATTACATTCAATGATAAAAAGAAAAAGTCAAATAAATATGAGAATACTTGTTGAAACTCGTTGTAACCGGAACGAACAGAATTTTCCGGTACACCTAATATATATGAGATATTGAAAAGTGTGAGTTAACAGTAAAATAAATTACTTACTCTACTCACACAAAATCAATAATTATACGTTAGATGGATTATAACTAACTGAGCTTATTAGACGCACGATGGGGACAGTGTTCTTCATTTGGATTCGTAGTTCATATTTTGTCCATACGTGTCGCTGTAATCGCATACGCTTTACAAACGAAAGGTAGTGAACGGCCTTAACGATGTACCAATAGAAAGAGACTTGTTGTTCAGTGGCGCCAACTAGCGTGGATACCATACATATTCAAAGTTCTTCGTAGAGTTCTCGCGCCGCGAGTTGTTGTATAATCGGCTATCTTCGAGACGGTCGCTGTGTTTGTGCGCGTTTCTCGTCGTCGCGCGTCGGCGCGAAGTTGTGAACTTGTTAGTGTTTTCACGAATTTCTCTTCTCTTACATATATAAATATTTGTCTCCTATTAATCGTCGCTTTATCTTTCTACGTCATTTTATTTCAAAACTATATGGACAGGGTTACGTTTGAAACTATATCAAAAAATGTGGAACGTTCGTTAGATCGACAATTGATTCGTCTGTTACGGTGAGTTATTTTTATTTTGTTTCCTTATTTTTTTTTTTTCAGTACTTTTTTTATTTTCTTTCTTTCTTTTTTCTTTTTTTCTTTCTTTTTTTTTCTTGTTCTTTTTCTTTATAGAAGTATACATGTAGACACACACCGCGCGCGAGCGCGCGCGCGCGCATATTTACATTCACGCGAATATAGAAATACATACATACACACATCATTGCAAGTTGAACTAAGTTGGCTAGACGATAAGAAAATTTGCATTTACTCATCTCTTTATGATCTTCAATCGTTGCATGTGATAGGAACGTGCCTCTCTTAATATATATCCTTCCCCACCCCCACTCCCACTCCAGCCCATCCCTCTTCTCACTCGGTACGTTTTATCCATAACTCGATCGTTATTTACATTGTTCGTACTTAGTTACATACACTTACTTACTTACTTACTTACTTACTTACTTAGTTCTCGTAATCAGATCTCTACGATCTATTTAGTCTTATCAAACTTTGTGTATCTATCAGAAAATATCGTGTTTTCGCGACTCGATGCGTCATTTTTGCATTCTTATAGGTGTGCATCCTTTCATCATCATCATCATCATCATCATCATCATCATCATCATCATCATTATTGTCATCGTCATCGTCGAATTTTTCGAAAATAAAGATAAAGATATGGAAGAAAAAGTTTAATTCTCTCTCTCTCTCTCTCTCTCTCTCTCTCTTTTAAGATTGTTTTTATAGATAAATTGATCGATCATCTTAAGGCATTCAAATTCGTTGTATTTTTTATATCGGCGATCGAACGAATTAGATGCTTTTGTTAAATATCGATGAGGTGATTAGATGAAAAAACGAGTAAATGAGAGAAAGAGAGAAAACGAAGTTCGTTTATTGATATTAACATACATATGTACATATATATATATATATATATATATATATATATATAACATACATAATTATTTCATTTAATGACACGATTCACCAATTATTATTTAAAAAGTTTTAAGTTTAAACAATTGAATTTATTAATTAGTTTTTCTTTTAACGTTCGCCAGTATAGTTAATGTTTCTTTTTAGACATATAAATAGTTAGAGAGTGTAAAGTTAATTTATCGATATAGTTTTAACCTTTTATGAATGATTTATCGATTTCTTTGTTAGTACTTTACATATGCATTATTTACGATGAAATTATTTGCACTGTACACGCGTATTTACTACATATGTATTTTGTACATACATAAATAAATGTGAACATGTATGTAGGTACGCCATATTTTATTGATAAGACGATTATCTATCTCTCTACGTGAAAGTACGGATCTCTCTTAACTTTGCGCTAAAGAAACTTCTTCTATGGAAAATATAATGGTGAGTAGTGTTGGTGAATGACGATGACGATGACGATGAAGATGATGATGATGATGATGGTGTTATAGTGCTGATGATCATGATGAGACGGAGGACGTTTATGCGAATCATCGAAGGATTATCTGTATTTGTCCAGAAATTTTTTTTCTTCATTATTTTCGAAGGTACTTCCTGATTTTATGAAATTATATAAGTCGAATGGCGTTAAATGATGCGTCGTGACATCTCATTTTTCACGAGCATGCATTCTTTCGCAAACGACAGGTCTTGTTACATGAAGAAAAAAAAAAAAAAAAAGATAAAAAAGACAAAAAAAATTATAAAAAGAATAAAAGCACGTACTTAGGTTTATGCACGTCTATGTGCGCGTACGTGCGTGCGTGCATGCGTGTATGTATATAACTATGTATTTATTGTATGAGTTTGTATTTGTGTGTTATTATTTCTGGATATTCAACGATATATACGTAAACAGTATAACAAGTACAGGTAAACAAGTACTATACATAACGTGTATAATTTTTTAATAAATCATATGTTTCTATAGCATTAGAATGTACTATATGTGTATATATATATATATATATATATATATATATATATATATATGTAGTTTTAATTTACTATGCAGTGACAGATATGTACGTTTATATATGTACTATAGTAATATATATGACTACATTATAATACAATAAAAAAGTATATTGCATATATATATACATACAGATTATACTACTAGTAAAAATAGTAATATATATATATATATAAATAAATAGTATATATATATATATAAATAAATAGTATATATATATATATAAATAAATAGTATATATATATATATAAATAGTAATATATATATATGATTACTTTATGACTATAGTGTGAAAAAGAATACACATATAAATTTAAAAAAGAAAGAAATTTTTATCAAAGCTATTTAATTTGAAATACTTAAATGCTTAACCCAAGTTGCTAACTATAAGTCCTTGTTCTCTCTCTTTCTCTTTTTGTTTGTCTAACACAATTCGATCTCCAATTAATATCTATCGAGTGTCGATTTTTAATTCGCCTTTTCCTTCCTTCTCTTTCCTTCCCTTACCAATTCATATC